TCTCTCTCTCTCTCAAAAATAAACATTATAAAACACTTTAAAAAATAAAAACCAAAAATAAAAACTCTTTTATCAACAACAGCCAAACTATAAAAAGAGCCCAAATGTCCACTGACTAACAAATGGATAAAGAATGTGTACACACAAACACAGTCACCCACACCAGACTAATACTCAACCATCAAAAAGAACGAAATCTTGCCACTTGCAATGATGTGGACAGAGCTAGAATGTATTATTCTAAGCAAAATAAGCCAGTCAGAGAAAGACAAATACTGTATGATTTCACTCGTATATAGAATTTAAGAAACAAAACAGATGAACATATAGGAAGGGGAATAAAAAAGAGAGAGAGGGAAATAAAACATAAGGACTCTTAACGACAGAGAACAAACTAAGGGTTGATGGAGGGAGGTAGATGTGAGACGGGCTAGACAGGTGATGGGTACTAAAGAGGGCACTTGTGATGAGTGCTGGGTGTTGTATGTAAGTGATGAATCACTCAATTCTACTCCTTTTTTTTTTTTAAACAAGATTTATTAATTTATTTAAATGTTCATTTCTTAAAAATTTTTTTAATGTTTATTTTTGAGAGACAGAGACAGAACACAAGCAGTGGAGGAGCAGAAAAAGAGGGAGACAGAATCTGAAGCAGGCTCCAGGCTCTGAGCTGTCAGTACAGAGCCTGATGTGGGGCTCAAATTCATAAACTGTGAGATCATGACCTGATCTGAAGTCAGACACTTAACCGACTGAGCCACCCAAGTGCCCCTAAATGTTTATTTTTGAGATACAGAAGGGAACAGAGGATCCAAAGAAGGTTCTGTGTTGACTGCAGAGAGCCTGATACAGGGCTCAAACTTATGAACTGGAAGTTCATGACCTGAGCCGGAGTTGGATGCTCAACCGACTGAGCCACCCAGGTGCCCCTGAATTCCACTCCTGAAACCAATATTGCACTGTTTGTTAATTAACTAGAATTTGAATAAAAATTTAAAAAGGAGGGGCACCTGGGTGGCTCAGTTGGTTAAGCGTCTGTCTTTTGATTTCAGCTCAGGTCATGATCTCATGGTTTGTGAGTTCAAGCTCAGTGTCTGGCTCTATACTGACAGTATGGAGCCTACTTGGGATTCTCTCTCTCCCTCTCTCTGTGCTCTATCTTTCTCTCTTTCAAAAATAAATAAACAGGGCGCCTGGGTGGCTCAGTCAGTTAAGCCTCTGACTTCGGCTCAGGTCATGATCTTGCGGTCTATGGGTTCGAGCCCTGCATTGGGCTCTGTGCTGACAGCTCAGAGCCTGGAGCCTGCTTCAGATTCTGTGTCTTCCTCTCTCTCTCTGCCCCTTGCCTGCTCATGCTCTGTCTCTCTCTCTCAAAAATAAATAAACATTAAAAAAATTAAAAAAAAAACCAAAAATAAATAAACATTTAAAAAAATTAAAGAGAGGGGTGCCTGGGTGGCTCAGTCAGTTAAGCGTCCGACTTCAGCTCAGGTCATGATCTCACGGTTCGTGGGTTCGAGCCCCATGTTGGACTCTGTGCTGACAGCGAGCTCACAGCTTGGAGCCTGTCTCGGATTCTGTGTCTCCCTCTCTCTCTGACCCTCCCCTGCTTATGCTGTCTCTCCCTCTCTCTCAAAAATAAATAAAACATTAAAAAACTTAAAGAGAAAAATTAAAAACACTTTTGAAGATAGTGTTCACATCACAACCATAAAAACAACTACAGCAAGTTATATATCACTTACTTTTTACTAGGCACTGTTCTGAGAGGTTTCATAAGAAACAAATAAATGAGATTAACTCATTGAGTTAACTCAAATAAATCTTGAAGGATGTTGTAAGAGATATGGAAAGAAAGGATGATCATATTACACATAAAAGTTTATTGCTGTAGGGGCGCCTGGGTGGCTTAGTCGGTTAAGCGTCCGACTTTCGCTTAGGTCATGATCTCGCGGTTGGTGGGTTCGAGCCCCGCGTCGGGCTCTGTGCTGACTGCCAGCTCAGAGCTTGGAGCTTGTTTCAGAGTCTGTGACTCCCTCTCTCTCTGACCCTCCCCTGCTCATGCTGTCTCTCTCTCTCTCCTAGAAATAAATAAAACATTAAAAAAAAATTAAAAAAAAAAGTTTATTGCTGTAGAATATATGAGGGACTCCTTGAAATCAACAAGAAAAACATAGGAATGCTAAAAGACGAGAAAAGGCAAAGAACACTAAAGGACAATTTATAGAAAAGGAAACTTTCTAAAAAGGATAATAAACCTATGAATAATACTCAAATTCATCAGTGATAGGAATATTGTAAATAACAATAATTCCATGTTACTTTACACCCATGAGATGAGTGGAAAATGTGGGTGGGCACGTGAGAGCTACTTTGATTGTTAGTGGGGATATCAACTGGTGTATAACTATGGAAAGGAACTTGGTAGTACTTAATCAAAGAGCATGAGAGTATCACATACATAGCTCTGATATAGCAATGCTAAGTGCAATCAGCCAGACACAAAAGGACAAATTCTGTATGATTCCATGTACATATGAGGTGTGTAGAATCATCCAATTTACACAGGCAGAAAGTAGAATAGTGATTACCAGGGATTAGGGAGGAGGGAATGGGGAATTACTGTCTACTGGGTACAGAGTTTCAGAGTTTAAGATGATGAAAAGTTCTGGAGATGGATAGTGATTATGGTTACATAATAATGTGAATGTACTCAAAGCCACTGTACACTTAAAATGGTTAAAATGATGTATTTTATGGTAAAATGCTAAACATGTGTATTTTGCCACAAATAGAATAAACCTCAATAGTGGAAAAAAACAACACTCCAATTAAAAAATGGACGAAAGACACAGACATTTCATGAAAAAGAGATACAAATGGCAAATAAGCACATGAATGGATGTTCAATACAATTAGTCATTAGGGAAATGCAAATTAAAACCACAATGGGTAGTGGTGTACCCAACTATCAGAAGAGCTTAAAAAAAGTGATTAAGGTCAAATGCTGCTGAGGATGTGGAGAAATTGGATCTATCAAGTTTGTGGATGAGAATGTAAAATCGTACTCCACTTTGGAAAATAGTTAGGCAGTTTTTTATAAAACAAAATCCATACTTATCATATGACCCAATCAAATTCTTGGGCATTTGTCCCAGAGAAATGAAAATTTATGTTCATACAAACACCTGAATATAAGTGCTCATATTAGCTTTATTTATATTAACCAAAAAATGGAAATAACCAGAATGTCCTTCAACAAATGAATGTTACATCCATTGAAAAGAATACTACTGAGCAATAAAAAGGAACAAACTACCAATACATGCAACAGGTTGGGTGGACCACAAAGGGAATATGCTTAGTGAAAGAATCTATCTCAAAAACTTACATGCTATATGATTCCATTTATAAACATTGTTAAAAGGACAAAACTATATACTCTTAAATACAAAGAACAAACTGAGGGTTGATGGGGATTGGGGAGAGGGAAAACGGGTGATGGGCTTTGAGGAGGGCACTTGTTGGGATGAACACTGGGTGTTGTATGTAAGCCAGTTTGACAATAAATTATATTAAAAAATAATTTTAAAAATTTAAAAATGACAAAATTATAGAGATGCAGAACAGATTAGCAGTTGCCAGAGACCAGGGATTGTTGGTGTGAGTCTGAAGGGGTAGCTCAAAGAAGACCTTTGTGGTGATGGAGCAGTTCTCTATCTTGATTATGGCAGTGGTTACATGAAGCTATACCTGGGGCAAAATCACACAGAACCACACACACACACACACACACACACACACACACACACACAGGTACACACACAAATGAATTAATGTAAGAATGGTGGAACCTGAATATGGTCTATGGTCTAGTTAACAGTATTGAACTCATGTCAGCTTTTTTTTGATTTTGATTACTGTGTTACAGTAAGGTATAGATACAGTAGATAAGATACCGTCATTGGAGAAGCTGAAAGAAGGCCTCAGGATACTCTTATGTATTATTTTTACTTTCTATCAGTCTCAAGTTCTTTCAAAATGAAAAAGTTAAAATCTGCATGCACATAAAGCAGTATATGTTTCACAGAACAGTACATAAATATACAGCAAATGTATATGTACTGTACGCCCTGTATGTGTCTTGATCTTCCTTCCTGTTAGAATGTCTCTAGGGGGATGGGTGATAACATAAATTATCATTAGCCTTGTATGGGCTGATGATGATAGTGGGCCATAAAAATGGGAATATGATAAACTTAAAAGAGGTTAGAAATATATCTATTGTAACTCTGTAGACAAGCCTTTTTACAAAAAGAATCTTGTAAGAGCCTAAGTTATAGAGACAGACAGATTGTGGATGAAGTCCTAGTTCCACCACTTAGTAGCTGTGTGACTCTGGGCAAGCTACTCTGCTTCAGTCACCTTATCAATACACCTGGGAACAAAATTACGCATCCCCAACAGTCTTGAGAGCGTTAAATGGGAACAACATAGGTAAAGTAGTTAGCATAATGCCCAGCACATAGGAAGCACTCATTTATTCTTATGATTATAAGTGCAACCAACAAAACTACCTTTCAAATTGGCTGGCAAAAGATATAAAATTTTATCTTTCCTCTAGAAGCTAAAACTAAACCCGTGAGATTAGAAACTGTGTTAATCTTTCTCATCATTATATTCTGAAGTTTCACACACAAATAAAATATAACAAATAGGGGTGCCTAGGTGGCTCAGTCAATTAAGCGTCTGACTCTTGGTTTTGGCTCAGTTGATGATCTCATAGTTTATGGGACTGAGCCCCATGTTGGGCTCTGTGCTGACAGTGCAGAACCTGCTTGGACTTCTCTCTCTCTCCCTCTCTCTCTGCCCCACCTCTGTTTTCTCTCTCTCTCTCTCACTCTCTCAAAACAAATAAATACACTTAAAAAAAATTCATGAATAATTACAAGGTTTAATTCTACCTCATCAGGAAATCTTTATTGTGTAAAATTATGTACCTTCATCCTTCATGTTTCGATCTATCTGTGGCCCAGCATTCCTTTCTCGGAACTGTATACCATGCACGTGTCTCTGCATTACTTCCTGTATTAATTCAAACAATGGTTGATCCTGTTTGAGACACAATGAATGTTATTCCTGTTAGAAATTGTGTTTTTTTTACCTTCTTCCAAATCCCACAATGGAAATTTTGTGAAAACATATTTTCCTCTGGAAGAGTAATGGGGTGGGGCTGGGAAGAAAGCCCTTACACCCTACATCATACAGTCCACCTCTGGCATATGAGTATTTAACATACTGTAGTTTTGACTATTCATGTCTTGATATGAAATAGTTTGTAATTTTGCTGACACATGAAAATGAATCTTGTGAGTTTGTATGGTTTCCATTTGAGTGAACTATGCAGCTAATAAATGTATCTAGCTTCTACAGAAATCTAAACTTTAAGTTGGCATTGCTGTTTTTACTCATCCACACATATATAGCCATGGGGATAAACTACAAGCTAACGTGACACTTTAGGTAAAAACTGTTTTGACAAATGTTCTTTGAATACTTCCTGATAAAAATATCATGGGGACACAGATCTCTGCTAACTGTAAGATGGTTTAGAAGTCCCCACAATCACATACCAAACAAACTATAATATAAAGGTAGATCAGCAGTGGCAAAAGTACAGTATCATTGTACATTATTGACTGGGAAGAAAACCATGCAAAATGTTTATTTCTTCTGCACTTTTCATAAAATAAACTTTGAACAATGTGGTTTGGTGATCAGGCTCTCCACAACCTGGTTCACTCATTCCACCATCTCTTACTACCCTGCAGGTACCCTGCACAAAAAGTCAAATTAGACTGAGTAGCATGTCCTAAACTGTGCTTCAATTTACCCTGCACTTTATTTTTCCTTTCATCTTTGATGTCTTCTCACAATTTCCCTCGTCTCTGCTGAAATCCTACTCACCTTTTAAGGTTCAGTTGAGGTGATATTTTAGCTACTTTATGAAGCTCTCACTCAGAACCACCTACTAGATTATCTCTTTCTCTTTCATGCATGGCATTTCCTATACAACTCTTTCTGTAATGACCATAGAATGTACATGTTATCTCTTCTACCATGTTGCAAGCTCTTTAAACAAGAATAAGTCTTACCATTGCAATCATTCAAAATCCTAGTAGGTGCTAAACAAATACCAATATTGATGAATTCTTCAGATCTGGATTCTTAATTACATGTATTTTTATATTTTATATATTTTTATAGCTAGAAGTCATTTTTCAGGAAAAAGAAATTGTTTTAAAATGATTTTTACCAGTGTGCCGGCAGACAAAGGAGCAGAATCATCTGTAGGATACATTCTGGAAACTGGGCACTTGAGAATGTCTAGGCCATTTGGAACGATTTTACAATAATCCTGAATACACTGCAGCCACCACCACACAGCATCCCGGCAATTGTATCTGGCATAAGTTCCTTCTCCCAGGAGATTAGGAATGAGACCGTGTCTCAGGGTACCAGCAAATGCTAAAATAATATTCCTAAAACAACAGAATTAGGTGGATCATTTGACATGAAAACAATCACTTAAAAAAATTTAAGTCCTTTTTTGTTACTACTATTCCAGATGCATTTTACTTCCTGCCCTTTGAATTTTCATGGAGAAGTGGTCATAATATGATAGACTGAGCACTGAATTAAAAGCCAGAAACTTTGATCCTACGCCTGGCTTTTTCTGACAATCTTACCTTCTCTGTAATAGTTTTTTCATCTGTGGACTTAGGGATTGGATGGATGCTTTTTAGGGCCCCTCTAAAGTCTACTTCTAAAATCTGTGGTATTTCAAAATCCAGGTAACTACGAAATGAACTTTATTATTTAAAATAGCAAATATTAAGAGCAAAGCAAATGTATATGAAAATGAGTAAAAGCTGACCTTGAAAATCATGATTTATTTTCAAAACTTGGTAGAGAATACTTTCTATTTTAAAGTATTATTGTATTGTCATTTTTACCAGTGTGCCAACTTCTCACACAGCAAAATGACAACTTCGTAAGATAACATGGCATTACGAGGTAAGAAATAACAAGACTGAGGTTTGAAGCCCAGCACTGCCATCTATATGACCTAGGAAAAGTTATTGTAAACGTCTAGGCCTCAGTGCTTTTTGGCTAAACCATTTAGATACTTAATTAGCTTTGTGTTTCAGTTAATGCCTATCTCTTAAATAATACTGCAATAAAAATCTTTCTTATAATTCTGCAGTACAAAAGTATTAGTATAGATAGTGATACTTCCAATTAATAAAAGGTCAGAATGCAGCAAACTTAGCCATCCAGAACAATGTTACACACTTGAAAATTGAATAAAAAGACTTCTGTCCATGAAGACCTCTGCAGAAGGAGGAAGTAGAACTCTATCTGGTAGAGAGAGCCATTTGCCCACCAAAATGGCTTTCCTACATTTCCCAACCTATGTTAGAGGTGGCTGTGATCAGATTACTGGATTCTAAGGCAAACCTATGACTGGGACTGACGTATGTTACATGCACAGAACAGGTGTATTTTCCCCAAGCTCTTTCCCTCTCTGCCAGCTGATTGGAGAATAGTACTCAGAGGCCCTGGGAGATGGCCGATCCTCAAGACGAAGAAACCTGTATCCTTGAATCACTATTTGGAAAGCTGCCTCCTGAACACCCACTTTGGGACAGAAGCAAGAAATAAATTTCATTTGTGAAAAACCATTGAAATTTAAGAGTTGATATTTGAAAAAATTCTTTTAATGTTTATTTATTTTGGAGAGAGAGAAAGAGACAGAGCGTGAGCAGGGGAGGAGCAGAGAGAAAGGGAGACATAGAATCCAAAGGAGGCTCCAGGCTCTGAGCTGTCAGCACAGAGCCCGACATGGAGCTTGAACTTACAAACCAGGAGATCATGACCTCAGCCGAGCTGGACACTTAACTGACTGCACGACCCAGGCGTCCCAAGAGTTTATAATTTAGGGCAGCTACCCTAACACACACATTAGCCTCTTGGAATCATCTACATCACGTGGGCAAACTTTTTCTGTAAAAGACCAGATAGTAAATATTTTAGGCTTTGTTGGCCATATATATGGTCTCAATCATATATTCTTTTCCTTCTTTAATATGACTCTTTAAAAGGTGAAAACTATTCTTTGCTCCCAGGTCATACAAAATCGGTGATAGGGGCATGATTTCACTGACCCCTGATCTAGGCAGTCATATGTAAAATTGAGAAGGAGAAATTGTTGGTAGTATATAGAAGTGATAATTGAGGGCCCAGATAACAATGAAAATAATAATGATCAAAAAATTAACATTTATCGGGGCGCCTGGGTGGCTTAGTTGGTTAAGCGTCCGACTTTCGCTTAGGTCATGATCTCGCCGTTCGTGGGTTCGAGCCCCACGTCAGGCTCTGTGCTGACTGCCAGCTCAGAGCCTGGAGCCTGTTTCAGTCTGTGACTCCCTCTGTCTGACCCTCCCCTGCTCACGCTGTCTCTCTCTCTCTCTCCTAGAAATAAATAAAACATTAAAAATTTTTTTTTTTAAAAAATTAACATTTATGTAATGAATGTAACAGATACTGTTCTAGACGCTATAACTGTATTAGCTCATTTAATCTTCACAAACCCCTGTAAGTTAAGTACTATCACCATTTCACATAAAGTACAAAGAGGATAAATAATGTGTCAGTTGGTCATTTGGAACCAGGATTAGAACCTGTCAGTCTGGCCCAAACCCAAGTTCTTAGCTACTACATTGTGCTGAATTCTGATGTTCCATTTCCTACTTTTTAATCATGGTAATTTAGGAGCATTTGGGGAAAAAGCAAACACTGTCTCAAATCTCTACAGCCCCACAATGGTCTCTTTAGTAAGTAGGAAATGATCTTATTATATTAGGTTAGCAGGGAAGAATATAATACATTTCAGATGCCTACTTAGAAATTTTCAATTTTAAAGGATTGAAAACAAAACTTTTGTCATTTGAAGAGGCAAATTTCAGTTATTTTCTGAATGACATCAAAACAAGGTATATAAATTTTTTTTTTGCTGAAAGTTTTAACTTGTAGAGCAGTGCTGTCAAACTTTAGCCTTGGGCTGCTGGAAACCACCTGGAAAACACAGATTTCTACCTGGTCCTCTGACCTCTCTATGCCCACATTCGGAGGTCCAGCATAAGGATCAAGAATTTGCATTTCTAACACATTCTCAGATGATGGGGACACTGATGATTTGTGGCACTGATTTGTGCTGATTTGAGTAGCACTGTTATAACAGACTCTCTTTTCTGCCTTTGATAACTTCATTCGTACTCTTGTGATGTAAGAAACATTATTTGAAGTATAAAAACAAAACTGGAGGTTCCAAGGCCTGACAACAGATAGAGGAAAGGTTGATAGTACAATTCTTTCTACAGGACTCCGTGTTCATTATAGAAGGAAAAAATGACAGAATTCAAATTTTACCTAAAGGTGAATCTGAGTTCTTATACTTAATTCAGGCATAGAAATTTTACTCTTTAGTGAGTGATGTTAGTAACATGGTTACATATTTTTTAGTATTACTGAAATCAATTAGCAAATGCCAAAGATAATCTGACCTATAACATGAAGAACCAGAACTTAATAACTTCAAAATTTTTCACTACTTTGAAATTCTGTGATCTTATTAAATGAACATGTATAAAATAAAATAGGGGCACCCAGCTGGCTCAGTCAGTTAAGTGTCTGATTTCGGCTCAGGTCATGATCTTGCAGTCCATGATTTTGAGCCCCACATTGGGCTCTGTGCTGACAGCTCAGAGCCTGAAGCCTGCTTCAGATTCTGTGTGCATGTGTGTGTGTGTGTCTCTCTCTGCCCCCTCACCCCCACTTGTCCTCTGTCTGTCTGTCTCTCTGTCTCAAAAATAAACATTTAAAAAATTTTTAAAAAACACCTAAGGAAAACATACCTTCCAACTGTTACAAACAGATGGTAAGGGTGAAGGTTTGAAGAGCATGTGAAAACCATTTAGACATAAACTTGTGCTCCAACTCTTTAGAGATCTCCTACCTGGCCTCTAAATAGCGTCCAGTAATCAGCAGTAGACCTCTCAGTGCAATAAACGTATCCCTTCCCCAGCAGCGGAAAATACCAGAAGAAAAATGAGGTAAACCTAATAGAAAACAGAACAAAGTAATATGTTAATAATACACACACAAGCCTATGAACTCCATTACTAGAGGCCAGTTGCTTTAAGCCTGGGGGACAAGAATGAGCTGTAGGGAGTCTGCAAACCTTCTAAAATTATATGCCAAATGTGGGATGCATTTATACCTACACCAAGTTTTGTGTGATGAGGTTCCATATTCTTATTACATTCTTAAGAGAATCCATGATTTTGAAGATATTAAGAATCAAGACTGGAGAGGGATACTTACCTGAACTGATTAGAATGTGAGTATTTAGACACAGATAAACTTTCTTTTAATACACTAAAGTTAAAGGTTGAAATCAGAGATCAAGTATTTAACATATAAACAAACAATATTAATAATATATATATTAAGTAACACAAGTGGGAAGTTTAATAAAGTGAAAAGTACACTCTCCAGATATGAGAACAGCCAAGTTCAAGAGAGATAGAGCTGTGCCATATACTAATGATACATTTGAAAAGATTCTACCTGCAATTTAAAGGCAACAAATTAACCTAATTACAAAATGATTATCTTAATGATACATAATTGAACATGTTTATTAATCTATCAGTCTATAGTCAAACTTTAATACCAAATTTCCTATTAATTAAAAACAACTTAAGAAAGTGTTACACTTTGTTAGCCAGTTTTTACAAACGTAGATAAGGATTTCAGGAGCTAAATAACTTGAACATTCTAGGTAACTGTAGTCTTTATGCATGAGAAAGATAGGGTGATTGATGGATAAAGTCTATAAATTTTATACTGAGTTTGGTTTCTTATAAGACATGTAAAAAAATGTACCAAAAATTTTTCAGTAGAAAAGTAAAGGAAATTAGCATTCCACTCAAAAAAGAACTATGCTAAAGTATAAATATAACACATTTTTCAGGAAGGGAAAATTAAGCACATAAATAAAACGTATACAGTGTTCATTCATAACTATCTTCTAAGCACTTAACGCTCTCTGACACTACCTTGTTTGCTTGTTTTCTGGTTTGTTGAATGAATGTGTCTCTACCTAGTGGAAAATAAAATTCAGAACAACAGAAACCTTATCTAGCCTGTTTACCAAACTATACTTATCACTAAAAGTTGTAACTGGTAAAAAAAAAATTATAAAAATTTATTGAATGAATGAAATAGAAGACTAATTATAAAAGATAAGTTGGGGGTGTCTGGGTGGCTCAGTCAATTAAGCATGTGACTCTTGATTTCTGCACAGGTCATGATCACACGATTCGTGAGATTGAGCCCCACACTGTGCTCTGTGCTGACAACTCAGAGCCTGCTTGGGATTCCCTCTGATTTGTCTCTCCATGCTGGTGCATTCTCTTTCTCTGTCTCAAAATAAATAAATAAACATTTTTTTTTAAAAAAGGTAAATTGAGAGGTGAAAGAATTTGACTAAAATAAAAGAAAATTTTGGCCATTCTTAAGTATACTTCACAATTTAAGTTTCTGCTTATTGGATCTTCACCTTCTTGGAGCAGACATTGTTTTCTATTAAGAAGGATCGGAACTAAAGGTAACATTAGACATTTCTTTTCTACGCTGTCTCTAAAATAATGGTACAAAATTTCTCTAAACACGCTGTGTATTATCTACACATGGTTTATATATGGTTGATGATTATGACTTTGATGATGATGAGGACAGTGGTTAACATATATAATACCACTCTATGCCACAGAGACTTTCTGGTACTTTAACCCATTTAACACTTTGTATGAAATATGAGTATAGATAGATTTAAGGGTGAATTTCAGTTACTACGTCCTAAAGTACAGGCAATTTGTCTTTGGTAAGGAGTCAAAACTATAAAATCTCTAGCATTGGTATGGGAAATGTTTGCATTAATCTTTTGACCTCTAAGAGTACAGGACTTACAGATCACATATCTTATGAGTGATTTCTACCTTGTCAATTATTATACAATTTTACAATGATAGTTTTTTGGTATTACTGTCATCCAAGGCCTTGGTATTCATTTTAAAATGAACCCCAAAAAAATCTATCTGCAAAAATGAGCACAGTCCTGTATTTTGTTAGTATGTAGTATACTAGAAGGAAATACCAAAACTTCTATGTATATTTATAAACTTGTCCTTTTAGTTTCTATTTTTGTTTTCACTGTACCATATTATACCAGATATCATACCGATGTATCAGCTATGATACCAGTATATTAGTATATTTATTTTGGGAGTGTTTAACAACAGCAGTGCATAGTCAAGAATGTTGAGATCACTACACTGTGTAATAGGCTTCTAAGCACTAGGCTTTAAAACCAAATTCTGCACATCAATTTTTTTACACAATGACCCAGTTCAGTTTCATAAGCACCTGCATGGATTCACAGGGGAAATTAAGTACCAGGAGGAGATGAAATAGTTGAGTGAAAATCTAAAACATGATTATATAACTAAAACATTCAGAGGCTTCATATGATCATTCTAAATGAAAAAGTTTCTTCTTTAGTTGTCAGGGCTTATGAAGTCTTTTTTTTTTTTTTTTTTTTTTTTTTTTANTTTTTAGGAGAGAGAGAGAGACAGCGTGAGCAGGGGAGGGTCAGAGAGAGAGGGAGTCACAGGCTGAAACAGGCTCCAGGCTCTGAGCTGGCAGTCAGCACAGAGCCTGACGCGGGGCTCGAACCCACGATCCGCGAGATCATGACCTAAGCGAAAGTCGGACGCTTAACCGACTAAGCAACCCAGGCACCCCTGAAGTCTTTTTTTCTGGATCTGAGTAGATGAAAACTTAAGGGTAAACAGAGAAAAATCACATAAATATTATTATTTTCGTCCTGAAATTTGGTATTTTTCAGTTTAGTTTGGAAAGTTCTAAATTCAGTGGGCTTAAATATTAAGCACTTTCTTGAAACAGTTTGAAATATATTAAAAAGAAAATAAAGCCTGTTCTTTAGCCTGTTTTGCTTACTTAGATTTGTTACTTGATATAGGTTTTAATACTACTTGCAGGAAAGGATGCCAATAAATATAGTTGAAAGCATTTTATTGCAATTAGACACATAATAAAAAATTTTTTAACATTTGTTTTGTGTGTTTTTTAATTTGTAGAGGATCTTTCCATTGTCTCTTGGTAATTTACAAGGTTGAATTAATTTTTTTAAATGTTTATTTATTTTTGAGAGAGGGAGAGAGAGAGAGACAGAGAGAGAGACAGAGCACAAGTGGGGAAGGAGCAGAGAGAGAGGGAGACACAGAATCCGAAGCAGATTCCAGCCTCTGAGCTGTCAGCATAGAGCCCGACATGGGAGTCACACTCACAAACTAGCGAGATCATGACCTGAACTGAAGGTGGATGCTTAACTGACTGAGCCACCCAGGTGCCCCTTGAGTTAATTTTTTAAAGTGGGAAAGAAGTGTAATATAATGTAAAAGAGTAGTAAAACAAATCTGAAAAAAAAAATACAAAAGAGTAGGAGTTGGAACAAACAGAAACATGTTGGGGTGCCTGGGTGGCTCAGTTGGTTAGGCATCTGACTTCAGCTCAGGTCATGATCTCACGGTTCGTGGATTTGAGCCCATGTCGAGCTCTGTGCTGACAGCTCAGAGCCTGGGAGCTTGCTTTGGATTCTGTGTCTCCCTCTTTCTCTTACCCTCCTCTGCTCACATACTCTCTATCAGAAATAAATAAAATATTAAAAATTAAAAAAAAAAAACATGTAGAAGGATTAACGAGCCACAATGAAAACACGCGTAAAAAAACACCTGTTGCATACTATTAATTAAATAGTAAGCACAACTGTTAGTCTTACAAGTGAATAGCTATGAAATTTTACTAAGCAGTCACATAAAATCTTGGGTAACATCATGAGTTTTTTTTTTTAATAGTCATTTTCCCATAGCTTTTCCTCTTTGAAAAGTATTGACTGACACATTTTAACCTGTATGTAATTTCTTACCTGCAGCTAGAGACACACAATATTGCTCCTTTTCTTTTGTGATCTCATTTAGTCTATATGGCACATCCATAAGTGAAGGTGAAAGACGTGGCAGAGAAGGGCATTTTCCTACTCCACACATTTGCACTGATCCCAGCGAAAGGTGTTTCACAAAGGTAGAACCATTCTGAACAAAGCTATAACAAAGCGACCGAGTTTAATTTTTTTTAATGTTTATTTAATTTTAGATGAAAGAGAGACAGAGTGCGAGCTGAGAAGAGAGAGGGAGACACAGATCCAAAGCAGGCTCCAGCCTCTGAACTGTCAGCACAGTCTGATGTGGGGCGCAAACCTACAAGCCATGAGATCATGACCTGAGCTGAAGCTGGATGCTTAATTGACTGAGCCACCCAGGTGCCCCCAAAGTGACCGAGTTTAAAATATTATTTGTAAAGGGGCACCTAGGTGGCTTAGTTGTTTAAGTGTCTTACTCTTGATTTTGGCTCAAGTCATGATCTCACGGTTCGTGAGATTGAGCCCTGAGTCAGGCTCTGTGCTGACAGTGCGAGTCTGCTTGGGGTTCTTTCTCTTCCTCTTTCTCTGCTCCTCCCCTGCTTATGCACATTCTCTCTCTCTCTCCCTCTCTCCTGTCAAACAATAAATAAATAAACTTAAAAAAATATTATTTGTAGAAATGAAAAAATGTGGTATGAACACTAACTTGAAATCTACTCTTAACAGAATTAAGGTGTGCAATGTAATACTGCTATTCACAGACACAATGGTACACAGCAGGTCTCTAGAAATCACTTATCTTGCATATCCATTGTTTCAAAATTTTTTAGCAGTATCCTTTAATTTGGTTTCTTTCAAAGTCTCCCTACAAAGATGTGTAACAATGGTAATACTGGTTGAAAACATTTTCAATTTGGTTAGATTTCAGAACTGCTTTCATTTCACACAGTATTACAGCTGGCTTTAAGTCCAAGGCCTTGTTGTGCCAGATGCAAGGATTGAAGTTTTGTTCTTTCTGAAATGAGGCCCAAATCAATTGGGTGGTTCTTCAATGGCACATTAGGTCTGTCATTTCATTTTAGGGAAATTCATCTCTGAGGGCAGATTTCGTTCATAATAACAGCAGAATAATTTTTTTCTTAATTAATGAAAAATTAGAAAGATAATTATATATGCATACTCTAAGCATTATCTCCGTTAACAAGTCAATGAATAAGTAGAAACAAATAACATAAAAACAATTGAATCTTCCCATGAACATTTTTATTTTTTTAGCTTTACCGAACAGATTTTAATACTGATATTTGTTTTTGTATGCTCCAGATTAAAGGATGCAAACACATTTACTATCCACTTCTAGACCCTCAGCTCTATGAGTCTATGACAATTCTTTATGTTTTGGTCTTTCAAGAGTGTGTATAAACTGACTGCATATGGTTTCTGCACAAACATGCCTATTTCCTCAAGCTTTGTTGGGTTTACCTTGACATCTGCTTCCATGCTGTGTCCAGGAGCGTGGTGTACGCACCAATCAGTATAGCATCGAAGTAACACGGGATAAGATAGCGTGGGACCTGCTTCAGGTAGAAGAACATAGCCTGCAACCATTTACCAACCTGTTATAAAATAATATAAAAAGTTGATTTGGTGTGTTTACAGGCTGGATGCATTTTAAAAGGTAAATACAAACATGGAACGCTACTATCTAATAATCTATCAACTAGATTTCCATTTATTAGAATCAGAAGATGATGAGGAAGGGAGGGGAATATTTCAGGTTAGAAAATAGTGTTAACTTTATAGATACCATACTAATATAGTCCTTATTTGTGTCCTTGTCTTCTTCAGCTAGAATACAGCTTTACTTACTTCAGCAATAGTTCCTGATCGTGAAATAAGCCGGTTACTGACATAGTCAATCATCCAATCTCCAGATCTCAGATTATCACAAAAGGGGTGTCCCAAGTCATTCTTTGGTCTTATTTCTGCCAAGACTGACATTAATCCTGAAAATTCATAGAAATATCATGCTGTTAATAGCAGGGGCAACTTGTTCCCATAGCCTGGGCCACCGCGTCCCAGTGATTTGGGGCGAACGCATGTAGACGGAGACACCAGGGCTGCAAAGGGCACGGCTACACTTCCCGTGGCTGGAGACAAGTGTGGCAACCGTGGCTGGACCTAAGACACAATGACATACTGAAGGGGACTACTGTCGCAGGAGCCATGCCAAGCTTGCCAAGATTATTAACTTCTGGGACTCTTTTTGTTCTTTTCAATTTTAATATTTTAATATTCAAAGGCAACTAAATGTCATAGTTTCCCTCCCCTAAGGCACTGGGGGGGAAAACTGGTAAGTCTGTGTCTTCTCATGTTGAAAAGTGATGGATTCATTAATATTCAGGCAATCACAGGACTGGTTTCAGAGAGATCAAGAGCATCTCTGGTTACAATCATAATAAAGCCTCCTTTGGAAAGAATCTTTGAAATATAACAAGAGGTAGCTGGGACTCAACAAACTATCAAAGTGAAAATGTGGTCATATTCTTAAGTAATACTCAACAGAAACACCAGAATTCCTATGCATTCATAGCAGATTCTGTGATTTCAGTGACAAAACAATAGTACTTCTTTCATTGCCCAAACATGTAATAATTTCCACCTTAAAAATATTATACTATTAGCCTCACCAAGTTCACTTTGATTCAATGTCTTTATATATTTAGAATTTAATTTTACTGTATATGTAGCATGTCTTGAGAAAATGAAAAGATAAATATATAAATTTAAGATGCAGTTCTTTCTCTTAAGGGGCTCACAACCTTTTCTCACAACCTTCTTTGGGAAACAAAGCTTAAAATATAAAAAAAAACCCTGAAAAACAAGACAGTGTAAAATAACATTTCACTTTTGCCCTAGCATTTTCAGGGAAGGCAAATATTGCTCAGCAAGTGTGAGCTCCACTTGTCACATAATGGTGACATGATGGAGCAGAGTTTTAGAAAGAGATCTGATACATCAGTGGGCTGGAATGATTTGTGGAAGAGGTAACAAGAGGTTGGAAAACTGGTTACTTGGTTTTGCAGACAGGACTTAGTCTTTGAATAGTGTGCTAACTACGAAAATAAAAGAATATGGTGTATCAAAGAGAACAAAGAAAAAAATCCATAGTCACAATTACTGATTGAATAGTGAAGATAAAAGGGATGGATCCAAAAATAGATTCCAACATGACTGAATATATATTATTATAAGAAGTAGAGAAGAAGAGAAGGGGAATGCTGCTTAGAGGAGAGAAGGTCAATGAAGTTGTTTGGTTTGATGTAACCGGATATTGCTATTAAAAAAAATTTTTTTTAACGTTAACTTATTTTTGAAAGAGAGAGAGAGAGGGCACGAGAGTGTGGGGGAGGGGCAGAGAGAGACGGAGACACAGAATCTGAAGTAGGCTCCAGGCACAGAGCTATGCTACTGGTGAGATCTCACACATAAGTGGTGAGATCATGACCTGAGCTGAAGTCATTAGAGCTCACTAAATTACTAAAATAAGGCAATATATTCCACAGGCCAAGTAAGAGGAATAATAAATTAATGCAATGGTTATCTAGGGGAGAAAGAATAACTGTGAAAATTAACAGTTAAGGAATGCTTTGTGGATGATGTAAGATTTGAATTCATCCTTAAAGATGGTTAGATGGACAAAGAAAATAAGGAGTTGCAAAGGAGGCATGATATATGAGATCCTATATGAACCAGGAACATGTGTGATAAACCAAATTTCCTAGACAAAAATCCAAGAAAAATTTCCAACCAGGTGGGCTAAACTTATAATTAAATATTTAGTTCCAAAGTCTGTCTTACAACTACTCTAACTACATAATATTTTATTATAAGTTCTCTTTGTAGGATAAAACAAATATGCAATGAAACAAGACTTCCAGTTAGATGAAAAAGTAAGAGGAACGTGTTACAGTTACAACCTACTCCCATTTGGGGCCCAAATAAATCTTCTCATTTAGTCTTCAAAAAAGGCCTATGAATTAGACAGTATTAGTCACATTTTACAGAGGCAGAAATTTGAGCACAGAAAAGGGAAGTTACTTGCTGGAGATCATGAATGACTAGGTGGGAGAGCCATAGTTTGAACCTAAGCAGTCAAATTCTGAACCCACACTCTTATTTCCATAAAGAAGATACCATACGACCCTTAAAAAACCCTCCAAAGGCTTAACCCTCCTTGCCTTTGCCTACCTTGAAGGCCTGCATATTTAAGAGATGACCAGTTTGGGATGTCATAACACCCTCCACCATCTTCTTGTTCTTCCGCCTCACATCGGTAAAGCACCTGATTCATCTCAGCCAAAGTTAATTTAGAGGCAATACTATGAAGTGGAAAATTAAGAGAACTGGTTAAATACAGTAAAATTTCACTTGCTGCCAATAAATCTAAAGAGGAAAATCTAAATCATAACCATGAAGTGTCTTAGCAATATATGTTTTAGGAACTTGGCATTATAATATATGTATAAACAATATACATTATAAATATTATTAAAGGATAAAAATTCTAAAATTTTTCTAAAAAATTCTAAAAACTGCTAAAAATTCAGTAAGAAGTAACACTTCTTCCAAGCCAAAAAAAAAAAAAAAATCAATTGTCAAATTTTATTACTTAGAGTATGCTAGAAAAATTTTTTGGTAGCTACAACCTTTTTCTCACAAATATACTTTTTTAATCTTTCTAGTTGGGCTTAGTTTTTTCTTTTCTTTGTATTCTATGTGGGACATCAATAACTTTTTATGATAATTATCTTAAAATCAAAATACTTGTCAAAGACCAGTAAAGGGATAATCACAAGTCATAGTTAACACCTTAGAAATCACATCACATCTCCCTCCTTTTCCTTTTCTCCCTTCCTCAGGTTGCATTACCCTTTAGTTGGGTTATTCAGGAAACCAGGATTTTCTTAGATAAAGATGCTTCTTGAGAGTAGTCGGAAGGAAGTGTCTATCTTTGGCTAACCTTTGTCCAGGTAGCAGTGAGACTGTATAACTGACTACACCTGAATATAACCAAAACTCTTTCTTGTAAGTCATTTCATTTTACCTAACTGAACACACATCCTCCTGAATTGTATGTGAACTCATATCCTCTTGAATGTACTTCCTTCCTTCTCAGTTCCGTCTCAACTTAGAAAATTATAGTTGGCTGCGCTGTGTTCCCCATCTCTGCCTAGACTCTGCCCTCACAGCCAGGACTGACTTTTCCTTTGTCTGCAGTTTGTGAATCAAGTTTGACCAAGTCAGTCAGCAGTCTCAGTACCAACTCCATTCTAGGGCAATATTTTTCAACATGTAGCCTGTGAACTTGAATATGAATGCCCTGGAGCTTATTAAAATGCAGGTTTCTTGGCCTTGCCCCAAGATAACCTGAGTAGGTCTGATTTATAAGCATTCTGCAGAAACACAAAATTGCTTCATCACAGGTTTTTTTTAGAATGCAACTAATTTTCTAAGAATAGTCTGAAGAGTTAATATCCTTAATGATAAAGACAAAAAGTTGAACACAACAAAAAACGGACTGGTACATAAAATGATATTTCACTGATAACCAAGGAACAACAACAAAAAATTTAGCTTGGGGGCTCCTGGCTGGCTCAGTTGGAAGAGTCTGCAACTCACTTGATATTAGGGTCAGGAGTTCAGGACCAAGGTTGGGTGTAGAGATTGCTAAAAAAATAAACTTAAAAAAATTTAGCTTAACTAATATTTAAAACAAATTAAGATGCCACTTTAAAGTAGTTTATGTTTACCAATTTGATCAGTAATAGCTAACACTCATCGATCACTTACAATCACCTTACAATCACTGTTCCAAGTGTTTTACCTAAAGAATCTTCGTAACTGTTTAAAAGAGGCACTATGATGATATCTATTAGGTTGCTTGCACAAGGTCTTACTTCTTACAGCTATGAGAGTCTGAAATTAGATTCAAATGCAGGTTGGTTCTATACTCTATGCGCTTAACATTACATTGTTAACAATATATTAACAAATGGTAATGTATTGAATTGGTAACAATGTTAGGTAATGGACACCCTTACATAGAGCTGAAACTATTAATTAATCAAATCTTTCTTGAGGATATTTGGCAGTTTTAAAAGCTTCAAATATATGGCTGTAGCCATATGAAGAAATTCACTTCTGGAAATTTATTCTAGTACTTATGAGAGCAAACATATATTTGAACATTTATTATGTGCCATTAACTGCTAAGTGCTTTCTATGCATTATCCTATTTAATCCTCACAACATTTAAGAGGTAGGGACTATTATCAGTCCAGTTCTTCAGGTGGAAACACCGAGATGAAGAAAACCTAAATATATTGTCTAAGATTATATTAGGAATGGTGAAGCTGGAGTTAAACCCATCTAAATTTCAAAACCCAAATTCTTTGATATTATGTGGTACCACCCAGTAAGGGAATAGTTAGTAAGGGAATGACTAAGAATCTATGCAAAGATGAATGTAAAAAAAAAAAAAATACATAATAGGGAATTCTTGGAAGTAGTTTAGATGTCCAAAAACTAGAGGCTGAGTAAATAGATTTTGGCATAGCCAAATAATAGAATAATAGGCTCTCCCCTTTATTTGGTGTTTCAAGTTTTTATTTAAATTCTAGCCAGTTAGGGGGTGCCTGGGTGGCTCAGTCGGTTAAGCGTCCGACTTTGGCTCAGGTCAGATCTCACAGATTGTGGGTTCGAGCCCCGCATCAGGCTCTATGCTGACAGCTCAGAGCCTGGAGCCTGTTTCAGATTCTGTGTCTCCCTCTCTCTCTGCCCCTCCCCCACTCATGCTCTGTCTCTCTGTCTCAAAATAAATAAACTATAATAAAAATTTAATAAATAAATAAACAAATAAATAAATTCTAGCCAGTTAGCATACAGTGTATGTTAACTCTAGCAGGGATAGAGTTTAGTGATTCATCACTTACATAAAATACCCAGTGCTCATCACAACAAATGCCCTTCTTAATCCATCACCCATTTAGCCCACCCTATCCCCAGACCACCTTCCCAGTACATTTAAAAAACGATGTGGTACGGAATATGATGTATGCAACTCAGCCTCAAATAGTTCAGAAAAATTGTGTGCATGTGCGTGTGTGTGTATATAGAGCTGTATGTGTGTATCTGTTTGCATGTATCCACCTACTGCTATGTACAGAGAGTGCATGAGTGAGAGAGTGCACATGCAAGCATACACACAAAGGATAAAACATTAGGACAAAATGTTAATAATAGATGATGCTGATACTACTAGTCCTTGGACCACCGTCTGAGTAGCAAGGATATAGGGGACTCTTAAAACTGCTTAAATCAGGCTTGTGGTAACTGATCAGTTATTAAAATGGCAAATCTCCATACACTACTTACACAGCAAAAGGAATTTTTAAAATAGGATCTGCGTTGTCAACAGCAAGGCTTCCAGATTTAAAGTGAGGACTGAATTGTGTCAGGTGATTTCGAAGAATTCCAACAGCAACTTGTGCATGTGGATCAAGACTAACTCTGAAAATGTTAATTAAAAAATGGTTACTTTTCAGGAATGATTTATTCCAAATTAACAGGTATGCAACCTATTTTACAAAGAAAGGGGCACCTGGGTGGCTCAGCTGGTTATGGTCTGACTTCGGCTCAGGTCATGATCTTGCATTCACGAGTTAGTTCACTGAGCCCCATGTTGGGCTCTGTGCTGACGGCTCAAGCCTGCAGCCTATTTTGGATTCTGCATCTCCCTTTCCCTCTGACCCTCCCCTGCTCGCACTCTTTCTCTCTCAAAAATAAATCAACATTAAAAAAATTAAAAAATAAACTCCCCCCAAAAACAAACAAAGTCAACAGTTTGAACTCCAACATACCTGAATATAATAACACTTCCTGGAGACAAGTTTTCAAATTCTATTTCTTGAATATATTCGTTGGGTCCTTTTGTGGCAACTCCAGCTTGTTTCACAATTTTACTTTCACTAAGCTTGAAAAAAATATTGTATAAAACCATTTAACAAATAATTCTAATGGCCTTAAAATGGTTAACACACTAGTAAGATGAGAGTTCCAAATACCTGAATATGTTCTCTAATTTCTACTGTGATATTCGGCATTCCATTGATGAAATGCTCATCCTTCTGATAAGGTTCTGTATTTCTCTCAATAGTTCTAGCTTCAAGAACTACTTCTTCAATTTTGCCTAGGGATACATAAAATGTTAATGAAATTTCATATTAAACCACCTGAAGTTAGGAATTGCTAAAGGGATTTTAAAATCACTTAAAGTTGAGTATGAAATATCAGTCTGAGAGTAGATGATTCTACCCAAGATACATTTTTCACACAATGTTGTTTTTAAAATCATAAATCAACAAAAATTTATTTGAAAACAGATCCTATTCAAGTAATAATGGCTTAGTACTTAGGAACAATATATAACCTTCTTAATTTTGAGCAGAGAGAAAATAAATCACTTAAAAGACATATTAAAAAATGGAAAATTTCAGAAATACAAAAAGTAGGGAAAAATTTAAAAAACCCAGGTCCTTACTTCCTAGTTTAAGAAAACATTACAAATGTGTACCTTTTCTCCCCCTTCCGAGGTAATCACTACCTACATTTTGGCATTCATTGATCCGGTGCACTTTTACTACATATGTCTGTTTTCCAAAACAATATATTTTCCTATTTCCAAGTTTCATTAAAGTGGATTCAGATAATATACATAGTTCTGCAACTTGCTTTCTATTAAACAACACTGTATATTTTAGATTTGTTCACACTGCTACATTAGCTGCAGCTCATTTGTTTCAAACGACAAATAGTACTCCACTGTATGAATATACCAAATATATTCCAGTATTCGTCTTCTAATAAAATACCTGAGAGTTTTTCAGAGATATACCTAGGGCATAAGTGCTGCTGAGTCAAAGGATATATAAAACTTGAATTTTATTATTTATTATTTTATTATTTATTATAAAATATTTTAAGCTTTAAGCTATTAATCTGACAATAGTAACAGTACCCTTTGGATCCAGAAAGTCTACTTCTTGAAATATATACTAAAAAGTTATTCAAAAGAAAAAATTATTCCTAATGTATATTCAAAACTTAAATAAGAATACTGCTAAACATATAAAGAATATTAAAAAAGAATACTAACATAATAAAATATGAAATACTGAACATAATGAAAATCACAATTTTGTGGACAAAATGGGGATGTTTTAGTAATGATTGGTGACCAAAACAAAACCTGAGACAATACTGTACACACTGATTACAGCCATGCAAAACTATATATGTACATTAGCAATAATTAGACAAGATTACTGAATAAACACTTGTAAACAGTTAAAAATAACTACTGAACATTTAGTCCTAAAACTATTCAGGTTGATAATTTTTAAAAATTGGAGTCATACATATTTAACAACTAGCAACCAATATAGAATACGATTGTTTTTATAAGAATCTTCATCTACCCTTATAAGTGATAGATTGGGACAGCTGTTAATATGCACAGGAGAATGTTTTGCTAGAATGTATGCTATATAACAGTAAGTAAGGAGATAAAATACACACATTTAGAAAAAGAAATCTAGCAATAATAAGGGTATCTCAGGGATACATTTTATAATTGTCAAAGAAGATATATGGAAAGACTATAATTGCCATATGTTCACAAAAGAGAGAAATTATTCAGTACTTAGAAAAGGTTTTTCGGGGCGCCTGGGTGGCTTAGTCGGTTAAGCGTCTGACTTTCGCTTAGGTCATGATCTCGCAGTTAGTGGGTTCGAGCCCCGCGTCGGGCTCTGTGCTGACAGCCAGCTCAGAGCCTGGAGCCTGTTTCAGTCTGTGACTCCCTCTCTCTCTGACCCTCCCTTGCTCATGCTGTCTCTCTCTCTCTCTCTCTCCTAGAAATAAATAAAATATTAAAAAAAAAAAGGAAAGGTTTTTCAAGGGAGGTGGAACTTTAGTTCTTGAAATATGTGAAAAATACATATATACAGATATATAAGTGTTAATAAGACTACTTGAGGACCAATGAAAATACCTATTTGGTTGAAATAGCGGAGTGACAGAGGGCTAGGAAGGTAGCTGAGGATAGATTATGAAGAGACTTAAATATTAAATTATTTTTCACTTTGGTTTATATATGTGTGTATGTATATACAAGCACATACACAAATACACACTTAGACACACTTACAAATATACAAACACATGAATATACACATATATTTCCTGGGTATAAAAGAAATATATGTAGGTTTCATATAAGTTAGGAAATATGGGAATGTATTAAGATGAAAATAAAGCTATTTCACAACTCAAAAAATATTAATATTTGAGCATATTTCTGTCCAGGTTTTGTTCCATGTAGTAAAAATGTAAGTTCCCCCAAATTAATTCCTTTCTTCTTTTCTTTAAGGTAAGCTCTATACCCAACATGGGGCTTGAACTCATGACCCTGAGATCAAGAGTCACATGTTCTACTAACTGAGCCAGCCAGGTACCCCAAGAAACCCAAAATTTCAAATTCTTTTTCTCGACTACAGCTATACTTGCAATGTGTTATAATATATGCTATATAATGACAATATAATATGACATAGTACATTAATATAACAAAGTAATATAATCATAATAATGTTTTTAGATTGCATTACCAGGGATGCACATTTGAGGCACTTCCTTGCTGTAAAATGAAGTCTTAGGATTCCTAAAAGCAGTTCTAGACACAGACACGACAGACTGATGAATACTGGGTGAATGTCTTGTTACTGCCACTATGTCTTCATCAACCTGATCCACATACACCTGAGAAACAGAAAGATATAAAACATCAGCACTCAAACTGGGAAGACTTAACTCTGAAATTAAACCTTAAGAAACCGACAAAAATTTAGTTTCTTGCCTGAATGAAACCCTTGGCCCCAAGCTCTTGATGAAGTTTATTGATAGCACATCTGGCTGCAATAATTCCACTTTGGAAATTAACTTCACTTGTATTTGATGGAGACGCTCCGGGGTTCCACTTAGTATAAAACCGTTCTTCAGAAACCACTGAAATCTAAACAAAGTTAAAACTTAGCCATGTATACATTTTAATCATAATGAAAACTTTCGGTAAAAATGCTCAATGTTGTTGGCCATTGTGGATTAAAAAAACAACAACATGGGCGCCTGGGTGGTTTAGTCGGTTAAGCGTCCGACTTTCGCTTAGGTCATGATCTCGCGGTTCATGGGTTCGAGCCCCGCATTGGGCTCTGTGCTGACTGCCAGCCCAGAGCCTGGAGCCTGTTTCAGAGTCTGTGACTCCCTCTCTCTCTGACCCTCCTCTGCTCACTCTCTCTCTCTCTCTCTCTCCTAGAAATAAATAAAACATTAAAAAAAAAAAACACATAAACATACCTGATGAGGCACTAATTCATCATAGCCTTTAGTACTTCCACTAGCACAACATGCCATAGAAACAATTGTGGTACTTGGGAGAGAATCATATTCTGACCTATGCTAGAACACAACAAAAAAAAATCCAAAGTTTATTTTCTTTTAAATGCAAAGTGAAGTAAAGGATACATAGTTATATATTATAAGACATCGATATGCTTTAAAGCAAATAAAACATTAAAAAGCTATGTACCATAATCACTTATAAATCTAAGATATGATTTTGAGGTATGTGGATATTATTGCCACTAAATATCAGAGAACTAAATATCAAAACATTTACTTATTTATTTTTCCTTTTTCAAGTTTTTGTTTAAATTCCAGTTAGTTAACATACAGTGTGTAACATCAGTTTCAGGTGTAGAATTGAGTGATTCATCACTTACATACAAGACCCAGTGCTCATCCACAAGTCCCCTCCTTAATACTCATCACCCATTTCATTTAGCCCATGCCCCCACTTACCTCCCCTCCAGCAACCCTCAGTTTGTTCTCTATACTTGAGTCTGTTTTATGGTTAGCCTCTCTTTTTTTCCCCTCCTATGTTCATCCATTACATTTCTTAAATTCCACATGAGTTCAGCAAAATAAATAAATACAAGAAAGAGATTAGATGCTTACCACTATAGGACACTCATTATCATGGGTAATATCCATAAACAGGGCATGTGCAATAGCTGGCATTAAAGGCCTCAGACAGGGCTGAACAAAGGATCCGACAGGTTCTCCTCCATACCTATAAACTAATCTGCCTTCTTCATGGCTATTATATGCACTCATTGCCTCTGCAAAGTATTACAGAATATTTTAACAATCTTCATTATTATTGTCCAAGAAGAGGTTAGGTTTCTTATAACTAACTTTCCAAAAAAGGCCACATATATATTATAGAAAATAAAACTATAAACATTTATTTTTTTTTTAATTTTTTTTTAATGTTTTTTATTTATTTCTAGGAGAGAGAGAGAGAGAGACAGCGTGAGCAGGAGAGGGTCAGAGAGAGAGGGAGTCACAGACTGAAACAGGCTCCAGGCTCTGAGCTGGCAGTCAGCACAGAGCCCGACGCGGGGCTCGAACCCACGAACTGCGAGATCATGACCTAAAACTATAAACATTTAAACAAATGTCTATTTGTTTAAGTGACAAAAAAGTCTTCTCTGTAATGTAGCTGAAGAAAAGGCTTATGTAGGTAAAAGGAACATATGTTGTTTATTAGGATGTTGGTTATATAAATCTATGCAAAAAAAACCTAAAATTATATCATCTGTCCAAGTAGGAGATGAAAAACAGATTCATATATTTTCAAAACTGAAAAATACTTTTATTCATGAGTCATCAGTTCACCCTACTGGTCTTTCAATTTAAAATGAGATATTTTGGGGACACCTGGGTGGCTCAGTTGGCTAAGCCTCCAACTTGGGCTCAGCTCATGATCTCGTGGTTCCTGAGTTCAAGCCCCGCGTTGGGCTCTGTGCTGACAGCTCAGAGTCTGGAGCCTGCTTCAGATTCTGTGTCTCCCTCTCTCTCTGACCCTCCCCTGCTTGCACTCTGCCTCTCTCTCTCAAAATAAGTAAATAAACATTGAAAAAAATGTTTAATGAGATATTTTGCCCCAAAGTGGAAATTTTCCCTAATAAAAACAGACTGAGTTACAGAAAATTTTGTGTAGAGTATTTAAAAGAACATTAACTATGTTTAAAGTTACTAAACATTGTATGTAGAGCTATTAAATGGTCTTAATCTACTTAAAGAAAAACTAAAGTTTTAGATGGGAAATACACTTCAAGAAGCCTACCTCTTATTAGGGAACTAATGCCCAGTCTAGTGACAAACACATTGTCCAGTTCTTCGCTTCCTGTGAACAGTTCGGCTACTACATACAAATTGGGTTGCAATTTCCTAGCAGCATCCAACATGTACTGCAAAAAGCACAGTCACAAATGTAACACAATGAGAAAAGCAAGTAGGGGGAAGGAAAGGAGGCAGGACTAGGCATGGAGTTGACATAGGAAAATATCGTGGAGCAAGACAGAATGGAAATCCAAGAGGAATTTCCAAATAAGTTTAATTGTACATATGTAAGAAAACATAAAACAGACCAGTACACACAGGAAACATGAGAATTTATAAAGAGAATAAAACAGTTAAAAAGGAAGATTAGAGTTTGCAAAGATATAGAGACACAAAGGGGGGGGAGGAAGAAGAAAAATGTTAGTGTCACATTAAAAAATGTAAACCATACTGCTATGATTCTGTTAGGCTTTCCCCCTGCTTTATGTGTGTTTTGTTTTTAATACTCTAACCAGACTATTAATTTGCAGGCAGTTGACTAAGCCATTAATGGGAAACTCCCTGCTGGTGAATCATTTAGCTAATGCAAAGATTAGGTCTGACCAAACTAAAGCTAGCTTTCCCTACAGATGGTAATAACTCTTAATCAGAAATTAAATCAGTTCCAATTTTTTTCATATAACATTTTTAAAAAGGTTAATAAAATAATTGAAATTCTATCAGCTAACAAGTAGAATCCTAGATGATTTTGTAACTCAAAATTAAGCAAACTGAGTTTTAATTTTCTGTCTTGTCATAATAACAATCTTAGAAATACACATATTTTGCTGTTGCTAAATGTACAATTAAAAAAAACCCTTTGCTAGTTCTTCTTGTTAAAAAATGTGCTACCACATTAACTAATGTTCACTAAATGTTTCCAAACCAAATCAATTTTTCATGATAGGACTTGAAACATATTCATTATAATATGGCTTTAAAATAATAGATATTTTCCAGATAATCACACCTTCTGAAAGAATAGTAAGTTGTCACTAGGAAGTTATCAAAGGTCTTATAAACAGGATGAAAATTGTGTTTTCAAAACTGTATTAGGTAGATGATAATGCTATAAATTTTGGCACTGTTTCAGTTTCTGTAAAAAAGCCCAAAGAGGAATAAACAACCTTTATGTTTACACTTATATTTTTTATAAATAATCAATAATTGAATCAAAGAGGCTAAAACTAACTTCACTATCCTGTAGTTAGTGCTTAAATAATAACATAATGTGTAACAAGTGACTTCACAGTATCAATATATTAAAAGCAACCTAAGAATAACAAGAATAAGACAAATTGAAATTTATATACCATTGAAATATTAATATTTAAAAGTTAATAGTAAAATAGTAATAATATTTTAATACTATATATGACACTATGGTTATGTATACATTATCAGAGACAATAAGATCTACTTCCCTAATTTAAATAAAAATATTAACCTGTCAAACATTTTATAGCCCAGTATTCCATAACAACTGCATCAAAAGATTCTGTTACAATTGTGAAATTGTGCCAAAGTGTTAAATACTCCTACCAAATCAATGCCAGTGTCCATTTGGACTAGTATTTGTATGTTTTATTTAAGGAAAGTGATGAAAGAACACTACATTTCTTTTCTTAACGCAGATGAATTGTTTTTCTGTACCTCGGCTACATGAAGGGGTGTCGAGTGGCAGTTATCCAGACGCACTCCCTGGAAATAAGTCGCAGTTATTTCAGTGTATTTTCTCATGTGTGCCCAGAGATAAGGACAGTCGTCTGGTTTATTCCCATAGCGCAATTTGACGCTGTCTCCCCAACAAATAAGTTCTCTCCTTAGATAAACATCTGAACCTGTTAAGAAAGGAGTTGGCTTTCAGTGGTTCAAGAAATAGAATAAAATCAATTACTCCAAGGAAACACTGCTTTTATTTTTTATTTTATTAAAATTTTTTTTTATTGTTTTATTTATTTCTGAGAGAGAGACACACAGCGTGAGCAGGGGAGGGTCAGAGAGAGGAGATACAGAAACGGAAACAGGTTCCAGGCTCTGAGCTGGCCGTCAGCAGAGTCCGACGCAGGGCTCGAACCCATGAACCATCTGATCATGACCTGAGCCGAAGTCGGACGCTTAACTGACTGAGCCACCCAGGCGCCCCTAGGAAACACTTTTTAAATCACACTGACTATTTCTACCACAAACCATATACTGGTAAAAATTATGTCTAAAATTATGTCTAAAATGGTATCAGTATCTAAATTTATGAAGTTTCAAAAAGTTAACATTAATTTATATCTCATATCTATTTCACTAAAATTCTAGCTTTATAGTCTCTTCCAGAAATGTATGCCTGATGTCAAAAATTCAAGTTGCTTCCAAAAGGGAAACAGTAATAGTAGCATCATAGGTCCTTTGAAGACAGAGTTCTACCAAAAACATTTAAGCCTGCCTTTCTACCTTGTTACTCATTCTTGGCAATAGGTTACATTACACCCACAGCATACAGCAAATGCCTTTTTCATTTAGAATAACTAGAAAGGAGAAAACAGAGATGATTAAACCCAAAGTATGTTCTTGTTTAAAAAATGAGATTTTTTTTTTAAAATATTTTTATTTATTTCTAGGAGAGAGAGAGAGACAGCGTGAGCAGGGGAGGGTCAGAGAGAGAGGGAGACACAGACTCTGAAATAGGCTCCAGGCTCCAAGCTGGCAGTCAGCACAGAGCCCGACGCAGGGCTCGAACCCACAAACCGCGAGATCATGACCTAAGCGAAAGTCAGACGCTTAACCGACTAAGCCACCCAGGCGCCCCTAAAAAAATGAGATTTTTAAATTAAATTTAATGTCATTAAAATAGACTTCTGAAATGTTAAGAAACAAATATATTGATGGGTTCCCAGCAAAATTCTTCCTGGCAGAGAAACAGCTGTAGAAAAATAAAATGCTAGGAGAGAGAGGGAACCTAAAAGCTGATTCTAGTGTAACTACTGTTCAAAATACCTTAATACACCTCTGGCTACTGAGTGAAAAATCTCTCTTAAGGCAATATAATTGTAATAGCAATAGTTTCAAAGGTATTTTAAAAATGTAATAGATTACATTTTTAACCCAATAAAATCTTACACAGAACCACAATATAAATTAGATAAAAGCCATTCTAGTTGAGCATATGAGGAGAAGGAGGGGAAAGAAGAGGGAGAGGAAAAGATGACTCCCATCTTTTTGTCAATCCCTTCTCTTCTCCTTCAAAGTATATGGCACCTCTGTGATGAAATAGTTTAAGAACCATTAGCCTAGTGAGGAAAAAAAGTCAAAGAAACCGTTTATATTCTGAGCTTGCCATAAACTTTTCTTTCCCTGTCCACAGAGAAGTTAACAAAAATGATGTACCTGGTTCAGCAAAGTTTCGAAGGGGATCATCTCCCATTACCCACCCATTATGTGCCATCAGAAAACAAGCTTTATTTGGGAGATGCATCATAGATTCTTCTGTAGAGGGGGTCATTTCTTCAAATGGGAAAGTAAAGTATCTATGGAGATACAATTAAATATTAAGTCCACAAAGAGAAACTCTTTGGAAATAACGTAAATTAGCACTATTAAAATATAACTTCCTTGCTAACAAATAAAATAAGATTAGTTTGACACTATTTATAGAAAATAAGCTTCATTATAGATCAAAACTCTTCAGAAGATTTTTTTTTTATTAAAAAATTTTTTAATGTTTATTTAGTTTTGAGAGAGAGAGAGAGAGGGGAGGGCCAGGGCAGAGAGAGAGAGAGGGAGGCACAGAATCTGAAACAAGCTCCAGGCTCTGAGCTGTCAGCAAAGGGCCTGACACAGGACTTGAACTTGGGAACGGCAAGATCATGACCTGAGCTGAAGTCAGACGCTTAATGGACTGAGCCACCCAGGTGTCCCCAGAAGATTTTCTGAGTAAATCTACTAAGATTTGAGAAATGGATAGTTAGCATTATAGCTTTCTCTGGTTAATATCTTAAATAATACCTTAAAAGAATCTCATAAAATTACTAAGAAAATCGCTGGGGTACTGATGTTACTTTGCAAAAGCTGTTACTACACTTCAGTTGGCCTAATCTGTGCTGCACAAGACCTACAAGATAAGGAGCTAAATGCTGGCTCAATTTGATGGGGATTGAATTTACCATAGTAAGTGCACAGTCTTCCAGAAACATTACTGTAAATGATTATAAATTGGTTCACAGTGATGACAGTTTCTCTAAAGATTGGCCTAACAAAATTAATTAATATTAAGCCCAGTTACCACATCAAAACTTCCATTTCAATTAAAAAATGTACTGGAGTCACACATTAAAGGAAACATTCTCATTAACTTGAGAAGTTAAATACAATTTTCAATTTTTAACCTTTAATGAGAAGAAAACAAAAATGGAATACCTGGTAACTAAAGGACGTTTTCTAGTGACAGGTCCTAGTTTAGGACCATGGCCAGCCAGTCTTTCATAAAACACATTTCCCAAAAGGCAATTAACTGCCTAAAATACATCAAATGAGGTTATGTCAGTAAAACCAACAACAACACACAGTATGAAGACCTAACGAGAAACAGAAGTTCAAAAGTAGGTGAAAACCTGTTCCTGATGATAGTTCACGAGTTGATGCTTCTCTGAATTTAATTCCTCAATTCTCTTACGGAACCAGTTACAGCATTCATCAATTGCGGCTGGCCCGTTGCTAGAGCAGAGAGAGCAATACACACTTAATATTGAATGGTTTTAAAATTCTACCTTTAAACATTTTCTTACAAGGGTCATAGAAACTTTAAATATATGCATCAGGATCTTAATTATAGCTGAGGAAGTTTTCCAATTGTAAAAATTTTTTATATACATATATAGGAACATGGAGCAGTACATAAAAAATAGAGGAAAGCATCATACATTTGAAGTAGGAGAATTATGGTGAATTAATTAAATTTTCTATTCATGATTCTAATAAACAGCATGATACTAATACTTGCCATGAAGTATTAATATCCTCCTTTATTTCATAAGAAAAATACATAACATACTCATGTGGTATGAAAGTTGCTAGTGCAATGTTCATATCTACAGTACAGCCAAGCCTTCTGTATTCAGGATCCTGAATAATCTTAAGGTGTTGCTTTGGATCAGGTCTGGTTGTTATTTTCCTATTTTCTGAAAGCAAGAAAAGATGATATATTAAAGGTAAATATCCACAAGGAGATAATAACCACTACTGATTCCAAACTTTTAATTTATAATTTTTTCACAGAAAATAAAGTATTTATTTCACAAGCATCCTTTCTACTCCCATCTTCCTGCACACCACCTAACACACACACACTCACACATGTATATCCACAGAGAGGGAGGGGAAGGGGAGAAGAGAGAGAGAGAGACAAGAACATTATAGAAGAAAAACACAGGGATTCCTATCAGTTCAAACACTTCCCCACTTTTCTGCCTCAGTCAGCATTCACTTATTCTACTATACATTTTTAGGGCAGTAAGGATGTTGGTGGCATAAATTTTCTTTTTAGGTGTTAACATATACACTAATAGCAGGAGGTCTTTTTCTTCAAAGACTGCTTTCTATTCAAAAGTGTTTCTTTACGTTTTCTGAAAGAAGCACACAGGGGTATTTTTATACTTTTTCCTTTTTCATCAACAAGCATAATCCTTTCATTAAAAGAAATGAAAAAGTAAATAAATGCTTTGTGGGAGGAATTTTCATCCTTTTTCTGGATCTTGTTCTTAGGTGTTGTGCAGGACTGTCCCTACTGGGCTTGATTTTATAATTACTAATTAATATCTGGCTTATTCTAAAGAGACCTTGAAGTGGCTTGTAAAAGCATAAAATAAGATAAAATATATATAAATTCTTAAAGTCTAATTTCTGAGGTTCATCTGGAAGAGTAACCATATGAAAAGTGCTAAGAAGTGTTTGGAAAAAAAAAAGAAAAATCTACACAATTAGTGTAAATGATAAAATGATCTTCAGTATTGACAGAGTGAATAAAAGATCACTGGAATAGTGCAGATAACAAATCCATGTTAATTTAATATGACTATACTATGAAGTATTTATGAGGGTACTATAAATTGGTAAAAAAAAGGATGGATTATCAATTCAATATCATTTTTTGAATAAAAATAAATACCTTACTTATATAATACACAAAAATAAATTATGGGTGTATTGAACATTTAAATATAAAATACAAGTAAGATTATTAGAAGAAAACAATGTTGATGGAAGGATTTTTCTCAGCATGATGTGAAATCAGGAGCCATAGAAGATAAGACTGACAAATTTGACTACATGGAAAAAAATATCTCCGTAATCAAGGGTTAAAGGATCAATAGCATACTAGGAGGACATATGTGAAGCCAGTATAATAAGGTAAAATCAATAATAAGAAGTCAATGTGAAAAAGAAAAAAACAACTCAACCCAATAGAAAAATAGGGAAAGAACACTCATATACAATTAACGGAAAAATGGTAAAGTAACATGTGAAAAGACACTTCACTAATAAGCAAATAGCTGCAAGTTAAAATAAGGACTGTTTTGTCCAACTGACAAAGATTATAAAGATTAATGGTATCTAATGTTGGTGATGATATATTTAGTGATAATGTAAATTGGTAAAACTTGTGTTGAAAAGCAACTGGACAATATCTATTGTAAATTTATCATTAAATTTGTATACTCTTTGACCCAGAAATTCTATGTCTAACAATTTATCCTGCAGATTTTATTCACATTAAAGATAATGCATACAAGGATATATTTTCTATAATACTGCTTATAAGGATATAAGTTCTACTAAAGTAAGGGCTTGCTATATTTACCACTGAATCCTCATGCTGGGAAAAGTGCCTAGTACATAGTAAGTAGGTGGTACAAAAGATATGTATTAAATCAATGAATGAATGATGAAAAAACTGGGGAAATAAGCTATCAAAACGGCTAAAGAAGTTCAAGTACTTTAAAGCAGTGTGTTGCTCTCTAGAGGTTAAAAGAACTAATAATATCTATAATAAAATCATACTGTCAACTAAAAGAACAAGTTGTTCAACAGTCTGTAAGCTGTAGTCTTCTCTGTGTATATAAAAGATATAAAACATACTTAATTTATATATACACAATTATAAAAAATATATATAAAATTTTAATTTCTTTCAAATTGAGTCTGAAAAGAAACACAAAAACTATTAATTGGTATTAACTGGTTCCCTCTAAGAATTAAGTTTTGAGGGAGAGGAAGCCACACATTTTTTTAATTGTATTTTTGTACTGTTTTTTTTCTTTACTATGAGTACATACTGATGCATTTAAATAACAGCTTATAAATATCAGAGGGAAGAGAAGATAGAGGCCTTTTAGTAAAATGAAACATGAAGAAAAGTTAATATAAAAAATTCATGTATCAAGATGTTACACAATTGGGAAAGCTGAAGTGTGAATCTGACCCTAAGTTCCTAGACTTCAAGTCATACTGACTTTTCCTTTCTTCTTGTTGTTTTAAGAGGAAATGGTTTTTATTTTATTTTATTTTATTTTTTGAATTTTATTTATTTTATTTTTTGAGAGAGAGAGAGAATGAGATGGAATGAGGAGCAGAGGTAGAGAGAGAGAGACAGAATCCCAAGCAAGCTCCACTCTCAGTGCAGAGCCTGACACAGGGCCTGATTTCATGACCTGGGGGTCATGGCCTGAGCTGAAATCAAGAATCAGCCCCTCAACCAACTGAGCCACCCAGGTACCCACCAACTTCTCCTCTGAATGCAGTATTTCTCGGTATTATTATTCTAGTTTCTAGATGAGGAAGAGAATTCGTTATTGTAAGAGCCAGCAATATCCTTGCTGTTGGGTTGTCCTACACTAATTGTAGATACATCTTTATGATTCTAATTTGTCTCCTGAAAACACTTTGAGCATGGCGTTTCCTCCCCACCTTTGTCAGGGACACAATGTATTAACTTCTTCAGTTTAATTATGTCCTGAACTGAAGATTTGCTTCTTGCTGGTATCTAGGTCAGTCTCACTAGTGGGGAGGTGGCCTTAACAGTGGGCCCCGTCAGCTGGAAGTGCTTCTACCTCATTTAAGATTCCTACTTGAGCCAACAGAATAACACTACATTTCTCTGTTTCAAAGCCTGCTTTGGGCAAAAAAACAAAAACAAAAACAAAAACAAAAACAAACAAACAAACAGAAAAACAAAAAACAAAGCCTGCTTTGGGCATTTGGCAGCTGAAATAATCTGCTCTGCTTCCCTCCCATTCATGTATTTAACAAACATATATTGAGCTCTATTATATTCTGAGCATTGTGCTAAGGAACCAATACTAAGAAACAGTCCCCAAGGGAAATACTTATGTATTATGACATACCTCTTTGATGTCTCTGCTAACTCTCAGCCTTCCAGAATCAGTTTATAGTAACACAAATATCATATAATAACAATATAATAATAACGGATTTAATAATGCCTTAACAGGAGATAAGAAGAGCTATCCCTTTAAGAGTAATAATAACTTTCTTAAAATTGTTAAGAACATTCTAATATATATGATTTACCTTGTGTAAGAAGTCTTCTAAATTGCTCAACTGCTTGGTGAACGTCCACTTGGAAAAATTCCCAGAGGTGAATCTTTGGAAAAATATCCTCCCAAATTATTTTTCGAATGCACTGAAAAATTTCAATAGTTGAAAAAAAAATATTTAAAATCTTTTCACTAAACATATTTATCATAATAAAGACAGACTCTAAGTAATTTTCAACCATACATTTAATTTGTATTTTAAGAATTCTGTTATTCTGAGAGAGGGAGGGAGGCAAACCACAAGAGACTCTTAAATACAGAGAATAAACTGAGGGTGGACGGGAGAGTGGAGTGGGGTAGACGGAAAATGGGTGATGGACATGGAGGAGGGCACTTGAGATAAGCACTGGGTGTTGTATGTAAGCCAATTTGACAATAAACTATATTTAAAAAAGAAATTCTGTTATTCTGTTTTAGTGTGGTATTCTTCTATACATACTGACATTCATGTGATGATCATTTTCAATCAAAGCAGGAACGCCTCTTTCTTTGTATTTCCCTTCCGCAACATCACAGGATAAATGCCACAGAGCTCTGTCTAAGACCCAGGCAGGTTTTAGGTGTGGAGAGTTTACAAGGTTATATGCACTTTCTGGATGTTCCTGGATCCATTTACTATTAGCAGCTTAAAGAAAAAGGAAACACAAAGGAATATCTTGTAATTAAACTCAAGTTAGTATCTATGTTAAATTTTAAGATGAAATAAAATATCAACATCACCATTCATTTGCTTGCTTGCTTCCTTCCTTCCTCTTTCTTTTCTTTTCTCTCTCTCTTTCCTTCAAGTAGGCTTCACGCCTAGCATGGAGCTCAATGTGGGGTTTGAACTCACAACCCTGAGATCAAGACCTGAGCTGTGATTAAGAGCTGGATGCTTAACAGACTGAGCCATCCAAGTGCTCCCACCACTAATTGTCTTATATATTAGAATCAATATTTAAATATTACAGAAATTATATATTTCATATTAATGTGACATTTTATATTAAATATTTGATATTAATTTAAAATGTTTAGAGTAATTTATGAAACTGCAATTTGAGAAACTTTTTTGGCCGTGGTATCCTGTCATCCACTTCACCATACCTTTTTTTTACTGTTGTAGGAATTTTTAAAAAACAATTTTATTATGTTTATTTTTGAGAGATAGAACTCAAGTGGGGGAGGGGCAGAGAGAGAGGGAGACAGAATCTGAAGCAGGCTCCAGGCTCTGAGTTGTCAGCACAGAGTCCGATGTGGGGCTCGAACCCATAAACCATGAGATCATGACCTGAGCCAAAGTCGCATGCTTAACTGACTGAGCCACCCAGGTGCCCCTCTTCTCATTTCCCTTAAACCTCATGGGAAGCTTGTTACATCTTAGTCCCTCTCTTTTCTCTAAACATGCCCTTCCTCATCACAGCCACTCTTCTTAGCAGCCACGTCTCAAACTTGTCCAGCTCCAGCCAAGGCCCAGGCACATCTACCCAGGCACTTGATGGGTAGCACTGCCTGAGGACAGCATGTTACGTCAAAATCCATTTGTATCTCTGCATGTATCTACACTTAAAATGTGTTATATCCCAGACACTGCTCTGGCAGATGGATATTCTGCAGCAAAAGTGAGCAGGACTCCTGTCATCATGGAGCTTTTTCATTCTAGAGAGGTGGGGCTTTTTATCTGTTTATTTGTTTGTTTGATTTTATTGTGCTTAGACAATCCTGACAGTTCTCTCACATGCAATCTCTTTGTATAGCTAATCTTGAATGGTTAATAAGATTTGTTGTTTTGGTAAGACTGATAAAAGCCAGGCTCAGAAATTGCTAAAAAGAAACATACTTGGAGAATAAGGGTGTAGTTTACATTTTATAGTACATTTGTATCAGTAAGTTTAGAATCAGAACCAGAGTTCTGCAAGGTATTCTAAGTATTTGCAACATTAAAGAACATTTGTTTTAATTTTTACATAAACAAATAAAAGTTATACATCTTTTGTTTCATCTTTAAAATAGAGTAATGACCCTGAATTCACACAGAGGAGCATGAGTGGTTAATGTACATGGAAGAAAAAGTAATAACAACTATTGAATGCCTACCATATGCCAGGAACTCACCTAAGCAGTTAAATACATTAATTTATTAATCCTTATGTCCTATCGCATAATGTAGGGCATACAGTTATGTTCCTTTACCAGGGGAGGGACTGAGGTACAGAGAGATAAGTAGAACTCAGTCAAAGTCATACAGCCAGGAAAGTACTTGAGCAAATTGCTTCAAACCCTGCGATCTTAACCACTCTGTTCTACTGAGATGAATGTGTTCCTGCCTTATTCACTCAGTTGAGCACCATTACAATCCTTATACAGTTTAAAAATCATTATTATTTTTAGTTTCATTTATTTAGTAAATAATGTAGTACTCAATTTATTTACTTATCACTTATTCACATCCATAATAAACACTTGGATGAAGACAGGATATATAAGAAGCACAGATGTTATAATAAGTTAAATTAATAATTCTTCAATTCTGAATCAAGCTGTGTTTCCCTAGATTCATCATCATAGTTATTAGAATTCAAGATGTAGGAGAAAAAGGTAATGACGATTACATCTAGTTAGGATTTTCATTTATTAAGAATACTAAGACAACTCAAGGGGCGCCTGGGTGGCTTAGTCGGTTAAGCGTCCGACTTTCGCTTAGGTCATGATCTCGCGGTTCGTGGGTTCGAGCCCCGCGTTGGGCTCTGTGCTGGCTGCCAGCTCAGAGTCTGGAGCCTGTTTCAGTCTGTGACTCCCTCTCTCTCTGACCCTCCCCTGCTCACGCTGTCTCTCTCTCTCTCTCTCCTAGAAATAAATAAAACATTAAAAAAAAAATTTAAAAAAAAAAGAATACTAAGACAACTCTTATTTTTTAAATGGTAAAATCCTGAAGCTTTGTAACATCTCAATTTTTTTGAACAAAATCAAGTGTAAAATTATAGCATTCTAATCATTAACTAGTATTTTATATAATTCTACCTGAAAGAGAAGTCAAACCAAACTGTATCTTTACATCAAAATTAAAAATGAAACATGGGGGGCGCCTGGGTGGCTTAGTCGGTTGAGCATCCGACTTTCGCTTAGGTCATGATCTCGCGGTTCGTGGGTTCGAGCCCCGCGTCGGGCTCTGTGCTGACTACCAGCTCAGATCCTGGAGCCTGTTTCAGTCTGTGACTCCCTCTCTCTCTGACCCCCCCCCTCACTCTGTCTCTCTCTCTCTCCTAGAAATAATAAATTAAAAAAAAAAATTTAAAAAAAAATGAAACATGGATTTCTAGCGTGGTGTAGTGTGGGACTTAGTAGACATTCTCCCCATCAAAACCACAGTTTAAACAGCAAAAATTATAAAATACAATCATTTACAGTCTCTGGAAATTGTCCTAATGGCTTTCAGCATATGAAGTTACATGTACAAAACATGTAACTCTTGGCAAGAATAACAAGAATCTGTGGCATTTGAACTACAGCCTGCTCCCTTAACTCTCGCAACCAGCCATGTGTTATGGAAGCTCTATGCCGGGTGCTCTCCTCCAGGAAGGTATGGCCAACATGGAGACTCCCCCTTTCCATAACTTCCAGTCTGGGGTCACAGTTTCTTGCTGGGGGAGGCAGGTTGCCTGGATTTCTCACTCCCTCCAGCCTCATTTTGTAGAAGCTCTATTCTAAATAGGCAGGCAGAGAGAATCTCGGCTCCCTTCCTCCACCTAGTCCCCACTTGCAGGGTAGATGTTCTACCCAGCTGCAGGAGGCCAAGAATACGGGGACTCCAATCATCCCTGAGAGCTGGAGCTCACCTGGAGGGTGAAAGTTCTACATGGGGAGGGCAACTGAAAAGACCAGGGGCAGCCACCTCCTGCTTCAAGTGTCCTCCAGAATGAGATGGTACTTGGGGAGAAGTGGGCTCATCGCCAGCTCTGGAGCAGTGGCACAAGTGTTCTGCTCAGGGAGAGAGAGAGTTCATGAGGATGAAGGGCTCTGCCTGAAAGGACTGACTTTATTTGGAACAGTGAGTGAAGAACTTCATGCCAAAGGTGTTGTTGGAAATAACGATGACCTTGGGGGGGAGCAGTTAAGAGAATGCTGGTAGCTCCATGATATAACAAAAACATCGTAGCAAACAGAACAGAAATTTAATAGAGAACTAGGCAACGAGAAAGCAGAGGACAGCCCTCCTGGGATCACAGGCAACAAAGGAGGTTGAGAAGGCTGGGTGTGTGCACACAAATGTATCCACTCAGGAGAAATTCTAACAGGACATGGGAAAGACTTGAAAACATTCCCCAAATGCCATACAGAGCCATCACCACGGGTCAACTCCCTGGCAAAGGGACTTAAACACAACCTGTAACCAAACATGGAGTGAACACTAAACTACTGTGATCCAGGAAATCCCAGGAAGCCAGGCTTAAAAATACACATTCACCTCTGGCAGTCTGGAATACCATATGTATGCCCAAGGCTGAGCTGTCTCCGGAACAAGCAGAAAGGGAACTTCCAAGCTCCCAGCCCTTGATAAGTCTATTCATCCTTTTACTGTCAACCTATTTGTACCTTTGAATCTAAAGTATGTTGCCTGTAGGCAGCATATAGTTGGGTCTTGTTTTTTCAAATACTTTTGACAACCTCTGTCTATCAAGATACAGGCACACCTCAGAGATACTGTGGATTTGGGCCCAGACCATTGCAAGAAAGTGAAAATCACAACAAAGTGAGTCAAACTTTTTTTTTTTTGGTTTCCTAGTACATATAAAAGTTACTTTTTTTTTTTTTTTAACAGATGGAGAGAGAGAGAGGGAGGGAGAGTGAGTGGGGGAGAAAGGTAGAGGGAAAGAGAATCTCAAGCAGGCTCCACACTCAGCATGGAGCCTGACACAGAGCTTGATCCCATGACTCTGGGATCATGACCTGAGCTGAAATCAAGAGTCAGATGCTCAACTGACTGAGCTGCTCAGATGCCCCCAAAAGTTATGCTTATACCATACTGTAGTCTGTTACGTGAACAATAGCATTATATATTAAAAAAAAAAAAGTAAATCCCTTAAATAAAAAATACTTTGATGCTGAAAAGTGTTAACTATCATCTGAGCTTTCAGTAAGTCAGAATCACGAATTACACATCACCATAACAAATATAATAAGGAAAAGTTTGAAATATTGCAAAAATTACCAAAATGTGACACACAGACATGAGAAGTGAGCAAATGCTGTTAGAAAAATGGCCTCAATAGACTTGCTCAATGCAGGCTGCCACAAAACCTTCAATGTGTAAAAAAAAAAAAAAAGCAGTAACTGAGAAGTGCAATAAAGTGAAGCACAATAAAACAAGGTCTGCATTACTTTCAGAATTCCCTGGATCTCTGACTTCAAGGAATTTTACTATGAAGTGCCTGGGTATGTCTATCTTTGTGTTTATGTTACTTAAAGTTCACTGAGCTTTAGGATGTGTAGATTAATGTTTGTTTGTTTTTTAATCAAATTTTAAAGGTGGGGAAGTTTTCAGCCATTACTTAAGGTGTTTTTTCTATTCTTTCTTTTCCTTCTGGTATTTCATTTCTATGATGTGTATTGGTGTGCATGACATCTAGGACTTTTCAAGGTGATTTTTGTTGCTTGCTTTTTTCTTGCATATGGGTCACGTTTGTGGGTTTTTTGCATGACTCAAATTTTTGTTGCAAATTGGGCAATTTAGATAATGTATTATAGCAACTCTGGATATTGAGCTCATTCCTTCCAGTTCTCATTGGTTGCTTGTTTTTAACTTGGCCATACAATTTCAGTGAAGTCTATTTCCCTGACAATGTGCAGTCACTGATGTTGCCACTCAGAGGCTGTAGAGTGGGCCATCAGCAGTCAGTCTGGGATGACTGTGGTTTTTAGCAGGGCTCTCACAACTGTCTCCTTCCCTGAACTCCGTTAAGCTTCTTGCATCTGCCGGAATCACATTTAGCTGTTATTCTTTTGTGCTATTATTTCTGATAATATGCTGAAGCATACATTGCTCCACAATATGATCCAATTAAATTTGCGCCCTTCAGCAAGGCTGGTCTCTGAGGCCAGTCTTTGAGACTTGTCTGACTCCAGGAGGGCTGTTCTTAGCTGTCTCTTTCTCTGATTCTTCGGTTTAACGACTAGCTGGCTTGTGGTGTAGTATGTTGCTCTCAAGGTGATAGCAGCCTTCTCTTGTTTACCACCAAAGCCTCCATCGTTTTCAACAGTGTCCCATGCTATGTATCAATAAAGTCAATTTCATTCTTACTCTGTTCTTACCGCACATCTCTTCCCCTGGCCAGAACACCTGTGTCACTGCTGCACAGCTGGTGTTCTTGGCTTACGTCTCTAGGTGTGGAAGCTCCCCCGCACCAGCAAGCGGGGACAAGGGCATCTAGGGCCCAGAAGTCTTGCTCTGCCACACATGGAGTAGAGCTTTCCCTCTATGAGTAGGGCCTGGATGAAGCAAGGGAGTCCCAGACATCTAAGGTGCTCTTGCCCACAACAGAGTTTCTACAACAGAGTGCTGGAGTTGGGAGGGACATGTTGGTAGGGAGAAATGTTGGAAGCCTCCCCATTCAACTGAAAGCTGGGGAGAAAAGGAACCTATTGTTCCCACCTGTACATGCCAGGAATAGACCTATCATCACTCTGAACTGGGGCAGGGAGAAGTAGGTCCTGGTTTGAATGTCACAGATTATCACTGCTCTTATTGAGAGTCAGGAGATTATCTTGCATAAATTCTTTTCCATATGCTGAATTCTCTTAGACCAGTTTTCAAAGACTTTAAACAGTTCTTTTAAAAAATAATTTTTACCAGTTGTTTTGCTGGGTAGAAAACTCTGTAAGGCCCTCACCCTCACACTGCCAATCTGGAAGTTGACTCTCCCTGGACAGTAACTTTTTAGTGAAAACCTGTTTCACAGAAAGCACATAGTTTGCAACATTTTCCAATTTAAGGCTGAAGCAAAGTTTACTCCTTTTATATTGCACAGAATCTCTCAAATGCTTCAGAAATAAAGTCTCTGATAGAAACTGTTTCTGTACCTCAGTTTTTTTCTCCCTTTGTTTCTTTAGTAACAGAATTCCCAAGGTTCAGCTGTACACATGGCTGACTGACTACATTACAAGGTGTGACAACAGACAGAATCCTACCTGATAAAATATGAGAAGTGATATATATATATATCACATATATTTATTGTGGAGTTACACATATATATCTTATATATATCACATATACACACATACTAGATCATGCCCTTAAAGGCATGACTTCTCTTCTACCTTTCCACTGGGTAGAAGGTGATATTGGGACGTGGAGTGGCCATATTTGATTGACAGTTGGAAGCAAAGTATTGGAGATAGAGCAGCATGAGAGAAAGAACCTCGTTCCCTATCACCACTGAGCTACCACAGCAGTCTTGGGATGCCCGTCTAATCTTTTATAAGAAATAAATAACAGTTTCAGTCTTTAAGTCACTGTATTTTTGTTTCTGTTACAGCTGCCTATGCCATATCCTAAACTCCTTTAATGTCATTATGTAGTTTGATAAACTTGATGTGAATAATATTATAGATATTACAGCAATTATCAATAATGTCAAATTTTCAAGTGAAAAATAATGAGTTCTAAGATATTAGGAAGTTTTCACTGTGGCACACAGGGAAGATAATGTTTGCAAGGTACATTGGGTTAAACTGAAAGCTGATCATGGCCAGTGGCTTCTCCAGGCCCAGTTGTTCTGACAGGCGAGACGAGCAATCATCTCCCTGAGGATCACCAGTGGGAGGTTCTGACACTTTTTATGGAACTGTATATTGGTAAAGGATCTTGGGATCCAAACAGGTTAACTTTAAGAAGCCCTTCTAACATGTAAAAGATATAATTTTTAGATTTAACTTCTAAGAGTTTACCAATAGTTTTCTCTCTAAATAATACTCAGTTTTTTCAAATAGATACTACAGTACCAGAGCTGCTGCTATATGCGATTCACAGGTTGGTCTGCAAAGTACTAATTCTGCAAGTTGAATTATGTGATCAAATGTCCCTTCTATGATTGTCTCCTGTTTTTATAATCATCACAGGCAAAATAATTACATATTGATATATCTTCAACTAACACTTATTTTCTTTGAAAGAAAAAAGTGGTACTATATAAAGTGATTTTTAAATTGAAGGACACCTACACATCATTGTTTTCAAATTTTATATTATATAAAACAGCAAGAAATAAAGTAATCAGAATATAATATTCTCATCAAAATGAATGGAAGTGGTTAATTAAGCTCATACCAGTATGGTTGTAGACAACATCAGTAATACAAAGAACATTCCATTCCTTTTTCAATTTTTCCACCAGCTGTCCAACATCATTCCAGGTATACTTTTTATTAGGTCTTGAAAAGTCAGGACTGAATTCTAACTGGTTAGCTAGGGAGTAGCATGACCTAGATAGTCCAAGAGTCTGTAATGGGGTAAAATGAATCATGTTGTAGCCTGCAATGCAAGAAAATAACAAAGACAACTGTAAGAAAACTAACTAAAACTAAGGAAAATATAATTTTAAACTTCCTTAAGTAGTTTCACATAGCAAGGTAACCATGTAACTAGAAAAGGAATCAAAGACTAGGGTTCAAATCCTAGCTGTACCACAAGTGACTTCAAGCAAGTCTACTTAAATCTTTCAGGATATCACTGTCCTCAAAAATCAGACAGAGATAATGAAATAATGCATTTGAAAAAATCGTACACAGTGCCTAGTTACTACTGTTGAATTTATATTTGTTGGATGGATATATTTACATGTAGAGAAATACAAGTATATCAGCATGTCTTGCTCCTACTTTAATGTTCCACTGTCTTGTGTTCTGTTTCAATTATGTCAATACATTCATCTCTTTCTTCATATTATATTCAGTTTGAAACTAGAAAATATTACCTTTTGGTAGGTACGGCGTCACACACCTTCCACATGGAAGACAGTTGATCAATGTTTAACCATTTTAATAGTTTACTACTAATTTTTTTGTGTCAAAGTAAAGCCTTAGATATAATAATGATCTCATTTATTAACAGAGTTCCTTAATTTTCTAAGTTGGACCATATAATTTGCTATTTTTGCAGGTTAAAAATGGTTATGTCTTAACAGCTTTATTTGATTCTACTTCTATTACTAAATATACTAAGAAACAAAATTAAAAGAATCAAAGCTCTTAAAACCTATATCACAGAGGATAATTACATTTATTTTAAGAAAGAAAGAAAAGATAGCTGACATTACCTGATTCTTTTGCAACCCTAAGTCTGCTTTCCCATTCATCAAAGGGTCCCAGACACTTAGCTAAAAATGTCTGGAGAGTAACACAGTCCAAGGGTAACACATGATTGTCAGCACCAACATGTAAAATAGGATCCACAACTATGTAACCCCCACCACTTTTTTCATTTCTAAGGAAAAAACAAAACAAGAACTTCTCTCAATTAATGACAGAAAAAAAAATCCTCATCTAATAGTCTGACTCTCTAATGGGAAAGTGAATTGTCCCATTTTAAAATATATTTCTAAACACATAAAATCATATAAAAAGTTGCAATGAAACTCAATGGAAAAGCCCCATTTTATCCTTTTCCAATCTCTACATAATGATATAATATGTATAACATCTAATAATGTTGCTTTAAGGAAAAACAAGCATACCTATCAGTAATAACAAGGGCACTCAAGCAAATAGCGTCTTACAATGAAGTTATGTGAAAAGACTATTCAAGTGGTTACTTAAAAAAAAAAAATGAATCTGCAATGAGTCTTACAATTAATTGCTCCCTAGGAACTTAAGAACCATATTCTATTTGATCTCAAAAACCCTGTAAAAAATTGCACTGCCATGGTTTATATAGCAACTTTTCTTAGAAGCTAGATAATTTAACTAGATAGAATAAATTAACTTTCCTCCCACACATATAGAACACCTGACTTACCCTTGAAGGAAGTAATACTGAAATGATCCAGCTTGCTGAAGATTAAGTTTACAGTATTTATCAGAATCATCTTCTCTTTCTGTTGGATTTTCCCATTCCAGGGAACGGAATTTTTCTCGATTAAATGATTCTCCAGGAAATGGGTAATTTGTATATACAGTAACTGCTTTTCCCTGTAAAGTGGGGCCTAATCGGAACTGTAGTTCAAACCCTAAACAAAAAACACATTTCAATAAACTTCTTGTAAGAACTTAAATTACCACATTAGTAAATAAAAGATTTATTTAAGGTTTTATAAAAACTATGGCTTCTCAACTGTTTAAAATAACTCCTAATATACAATGCTGTTGGTTTTGGAACTACTTTGCATTCTAATTTAGTTGAATTTTATATTTTAACATAAAGTATACAACACAGAACTGCCTGCTCTGTATCTTCCCTCTCCTCTCCTTCTGGAAGCTGATTCTGATTTGTATGGCTACTTGGGATATGAAAGTTCTTTTTTTTCCTCTTTAATAAGATGTCTTCAAGTTTATTGAGAGTACTTTTAGAAAACTAGGATAGCACTAAAGTAAAAAAACAAAATGAAATTTTACTGAACTTGAAACCTTTCTTTTTAATTCCAGTATAGTTAACATACAGGGTCATATTATTTTCACATGTACAATATAGTGATTCAGCAATTCTAGGGGTGCCTGGGTGGCTCAGTCGGTTAAATACCCAGCTTCAGCTCAGGTCATGATCTTGTGGTTCATGGATTTGAGCCCTGCATCGGGCTCTGTGCTGACAGCCAGCTCAGAGTCTGGAGCCCATTTCAGATTCTGTGTCTCCCTCTCTCTCTGACCCTCACCTGCTCATGCTGTCTCTCTCTCTTTCTCTCAGAAATAAATAAAAACATCAAAAAAACCAATTATATATATTACTCTGTACTCATAATGATAAGTGTATTCATTTTTAATACATTTTTAAAAGTTTATTTACTTTGAGAGAGAGAGAGTAAGTGGGGAAAGGGCAGAGAGAGAGGGAGACAGAGAATCAAGCAAGCACCACGCTTAACATGGAGCCCGATGTAGGGCTTGATACGATGACTGTGAGATTATGACCTGAACCAGAACCAATAGCTGGATGCTTAACCAACTGAGCTATCCAGGTACCCTGTGTATTCTTAATCCCCTTCACCTATTTCATCCATCTCCCTACCCACCTCCACTCTGATAACCATCAATTTGTTCTCTGTAGTTAAGAATCTGTTTTTGGTTTGTCTCTTTTCTTCTTTTGTTTTATTTCTTAAATACCACATATGAGTGCAATCATACGGTATTTGTCTTTCTCTGACTGACTCATTTCACTTAGGATTATATTCTCTAGATTCATCCATGTTGTTGCAAATGGGCATCTAAGTAGAGACCTTTGCTAATATTTTCCAAATAGTAACAGAGAAAGTGAGTTTCTCTGTGGTGTCAGAGTATGTGATAGTATGTAAAGCTTGGGAGGTATTATGGAACAACTATCTCACCATATAGAGAAAGCCAGTCTTCCTGAGAGAAGACAACCTCTAGAGAGGCAGGATTCAGATTTCTAAAAGGAGTTCTAGAGACATGTGAGCCCCTGACACCAGTTGTTTTTGATGTGTGCTCAAATCCAGAAGTGTGGTAATAAAGACTTAACATGTGACTGTGTGAGGCTGAGGTTGGGGGTTGGAGGGTACTGAGCCCTGATTTACAGTGTTTGCTTTTTTCCTAGTAGAAATAAGCTCACTATGTTCAACCTCAAGCTACCAACATGACATCACTGAACATGGAACTGGGAAAAGATATGCACCATGAACTCTTGGGAGCCAACACAAGCAGTTCCAGCATACTACTGCTTATTTCCCTACTCTTCATGTTTTATTATTTAAGCCCTTTTTGGAATTCTGAGGGTCAAAACATTCCTACTTTTGCCTAAGTTAGGCTATTTCTATTAAAATGTATCTGAGACTTCTAGAATGTACCACAAGCATTTTTCCATGGGAGGCAAAAAAAGAAAATTAACATATTATAGTTAAAATTTAACTGTAAAATAAAATTATGGTTGGTTCAGGGAAGATTTTAAATTTTGATACAATGATTACAATGTGAAAATTCTGACTACAGTCCATTAGAAATATAAAGTGACTAAGAGTATACTCATGATGAGCATTGAGTAATTTATATTGTTGCATTACTATATTGTACACCTGAAACTAATATAACATTGTGTATTAACTATACAGAATTAAAATTAAAAAATAAATAAAATAAAAAAAGAAATATAAGGCCTAGAAATTTTAATCATGAAGGTAACAACACTTTAATCAATGATGGGCAATAATAACCAATGAAGGCAGGAAAATTTAGTTCTGCTGATTATAATCTTTAAACTTAAGGAAATTTTAAAATTTTATTTTATTTTACTTTTTATTTATTATTAATGCACAGGGTAACATTACTTTCAGGTGTACAACATAGTGATTCAACAATTCTACACATTACCCAATGTCTACCACAATAAATGGTCACCATACAGCATTAGTACAGTATTATTGATTCTATTTACTGTGCTGTACTTTTCATCTCTGATTTATTTTAAAACTGGAAATTTTTCCGTCTTAAGAAACTTTTTGAGAAGAAGCATACTATTATCTATACTTTTAGTGTTCAACTTACGAAACATCTAACAAAGTATAATAATTATGTAATGAGTGCATACCATGTATAGGAAACAAAACAGACAATGATCTCTTCCTTGTGGGGCTTGAGTTCTAACAGGCGAAGGCAGTCATTGAACAACGAAGATGATAAGTAAATAAGAAAAAACAGTATATCAGGGAGGGATAAATGCTAAGAGAAAAAAGAAAAATCAGAGCAGTGTGAGGAAAATCGGGATAAAGGAGAGGTGGGGAGGTGGTAGTAATTTTACTTTTTTTCTTTATTTTTTTTTAAATTTCTTTTTTTATTTATTTCTAGGAGAGAGAGAGAGAGAGACAGTGTGAGCAGGGGAGCGAAAGTTGGACGCTTAACGGACCAAGCCACCCAGGCGCCCCAGTAATTTTAAATATTAAGAAGCTGAAGAGCTTGAGGGAAGTGAGAGAGCTAGCCACATGGCTATGCATGGCCGTCTATGGAATGCATTGACCAAGCAAAGGAAACCAAGAGGACTTAGGGTAGAAGCAAGTCTGGTGATTCCAGAAATAATAAGAAACTCAGTGTGTGTGGACTGGAATAAGCTTGAAGAGAAGTGGTAGAATATGAGGAAAGAAAGGTAACGGGGGTGCCAGATCATGGTCTTGTAGCCCACTGTAAGTATTTTGGATTCTTCTCTGACTTAAACAAGGAGCCAGTGAACAGTTTTGATCAGAGAAGTCACATGACCTAACTTGTATATTAAATCACTTTGTATATTAGATCACTCTGATTATGTCTGCTTCTGGCCATCATGGAGTAACTGGTATTAGACTTGTCCTCTGCTGAGAAACTAGAAGAAATATATGAGACAACTGTTTTCAGAAATAAGGAATGAGGACTGTGATGCCCAAGAGAATGGTGATTCCTACAAACCCTCTAGCTTTCAGACTAGGGGAACTTTCTTTCTGTGCTGTGACAAAGGAAGCAGGAATAGTAGTCTGACTTCAGGAGACAGATATTAGAATTTGAGGAGGGTGAAGAAACTGTAATTTTCAGGGCAGAGTATGGCACAGAAGAAACTATGCAAAGAAAGAGCTCTAGAAAATTACTGAGGGTCATGGGGCGCCTGGGTGGCTTAGTTGGTTGGGCGTCCGACTTTCGCTTAGGTCATGATCTCGCGGGTCGTGGGTTCGAGCCCCGCGTCGGGCTCTGTGCTGACTGCCAGCTCAGAGCCTGGAGCCTGTTTCAGTCTGTGACTCCCTCTCTCTATGACCCTACCCTGCTCACGCTGTCTCTCTCTCTCCTAGAAATAAATAAAACATAAAAAAAAAATTAAAAAAAAAAAAAAGAAAAAGAAAATTACTGAGGGTCATCTTGAGTCTGCCTGAAGACCAGGCTGACCCAAGTGGTGTTTGAATCCATGAGGCTGGGCAAAGAATGACCACTAGGAGCTATCAACTGACCAATTCCCAGAGCTCACTCAGGCTTGGGAGGCATTATAATTTTCAGAGTGAACAGACTTCATTGAACACCTGTTGCATTCAAGAGTCATGTCTTATGTAGTAAGGTTAACCTGGCCCTACAGTGAAAACTACTATACCTATCCTGTCAAAGATTAGAACAGCCTCAAAAGGAGGGAGGTTGGGTGGCTCAGTTGGTTGGGCATTCCACTCTTGATTTTGGCTCAGGTCATGATCTCACAATTCGTGGGACTGAGCCCCATGTTGGGCTCTCTGCCAATCTTAATCCTCATAAGGATTAGATGATCCACAGATAATGTAAATGGCTGCCAAAATAAAAGACACTACTATTTTATTTTATTTTTTTTTGGTGCAAAAAAGGTGGTTTTGTTAAAGCACAGGGACAGGACATGTGGGCAGAAAGAGCTGTCAGGGTATCACTGCTTTAAAGGAAGACAAAAAAATACATAGATACAGCAACAGAACATTTACATTGTCCAGCATCCAATATAAAACTGCTAACCAGAAACAGGAGGTAAGAGCCCTGATGACACAGATACCTACAGTAGAGCATTCCACACAGAGCAAACAGAAGATGTAAAGGACTTGAGACCTCTGCTTCTGGCAAAGATGGAATGAATAACAGGGACTGGATTTATGCTCTTCCTTGAAACTTGAAAGAAAGAAACCAAGAAAAACCAGACAAAATATATGAAATCATAGTTTTCAAGCCTAGACATCAGGCAACAAAGTACAGTGATCTATAAGAGACAGAAAATAAACAATTGTGAAGCCTACATCTGCCCCTTCTTACTACCTCGAAAGAATGTCCAGGTTGAGGCACAAGGAGGAGAAACCCAGGCAGAGCTTAGCTAACTTCTAAGCTGAGATGATAGAATTAAGAATCTATTAAGACCAAAGCAGCTAATTTGTAGATGACAGTAGTTAGTGAGGAGGAGAAAAGTGCCCAAAGACAGAATTCCAGAGATTTGCAGAAGGTCTCCCTTCTGTACTTTGCAGAGTACTGATCAGTGCATGTCTGTGACCAGGAATAGTGTTTGATTTGAAAAATCAAGTGCCTGATTGGGAAAACTCATAATTCAGGA